ATTGTTAGATGATGGGACCCTAGTCCACTTCTCTATTCTGGGCAAGTCTAATTTGTTCATCAGTAAAATAATGACGTTATTATATAACAATGTTTATTTTTGATGCTGCTCAACTGAAAATGGAGCTACTCTTGACAAAAAACAGATTAGACTTACGTCTATAGGTAGGGCAACTCAAACTCTTGGTTAGACCTGGTAAACATGTAAACGATATGTCAAATTTTTTTGACACGTGAGAAAGGTTGACACTCCTTTCTGTGAAGTTGGAACCACATAGGTACAAGGGAAGAAGAAATATCCTTCTTGGAAAAAATGGGTCCGGACCACGGCAAAGCACGGAAAAAACAATTTTCATGAATGGAAGAACTGAAAACTTCATTACTGCAACCTGCGTGCCACAAGCGGTGCTTTGCCAAATTTTTGAATTCATGCGTCACATCACAACAGGGTCCTGGCAACGGATTTACGACAACGCAGCAAGGACAATGGAAGCCGCCTCAACATTAGAGCCTCTTACAAAAGCTGTTAGCAAATAATGAGGATTTCCTGACTCAAAAGAAAACACAGTCAGTTTCGCGCTCAAAAGTTTAATTCGAGAACTCGGCAAATGCTCTTGAATTGCGATTGGAATGTGCGCATGACTTGTGAGGCTTAGTGTCATGATTAATGCGCGTTATGGGGTGAATCTTGATTGTCTATTTTTTGAACCTCTGATACGACTTGATCTTCAGGCAAACTGACCTGTTAGGTAACTGCCATACGTCGTAGTAGCCAAAAGCGCTCAACGGCACCGAAAAGCGCCAAAACGCTTCTCTCGCGCGCGGAAGTCTTGGCACTGGAGCTTTAATGTTGAGCACGTAGTACAACAATAAAGCTGTCTTCTAGCACAGCAACAAAAAATCGTAGTCTTACGAGATTGAACAAGAATCGCGAAAAGCTAGATGCACTTTGACTTTTATATTCCAGTAACAAAGAATTTTTTGGACTGCTTAGCCACGAGCAAGAATTTCAGGATGGAACGCTATTGTCCGCTATCTACAAAGTGTCCCAAAAAATGTGCCTACTGTTTGATCCCTGATAAATCTCTTGTCATGAAATCTTTCTGGACTTCAACTTAGAGTTGCAGTATAGAGCGAAATACCTATCTCCCTTCATTACTGTAATATTACGGTAGGAACTCGCAGCTCACCTCTGTTCCTCAACTCTTCTCAACTCTGCAACCCGCTCGTTGTTCATTTGTCCCCCCCCCCCCCGAATAATATGATCTCACAAAAGGCTCGAATCTAGTGATGACTCAACATTTAGGTGGCGGCAGATAGATACCCTGTTTTGAATGTTTTCGTATTTGTCGATTACGTACAATTTTTCGAACAATTTTTGCAACCTCTCACTGGTTCTCAAGGTAGAACTAATTCTTTTTAAATCACTTGAATGAGCATTTCTTTTAATTTTTCATGCAGCCCTTAGCCTTCGTAGATTTCTTTTCGCTCCAGAGTTTTCAGCTTAACGGAATAAAAGGCTAAAAATAAAAATAGGCGTCAAAATTGTTCCCTTATGCTCTCTTTGCCGGCTAATATCAGTTTTTGAAATGTGCATAACTATTATGGCTGAAAAAAGTTTTTACAAATAAAGTTTTCGAAAAAACTTGAACGGAGAATTCCGTTGCAAATTTGGCTGGTCGTTTTGCGCCTTGTAGAAGTATTCAGCAATTAGCAAAAGACCTTTTGAACTATACAGCAACGAAAGGTCCGGACATTCAGTGAGAAAACGGTAAGGTTCACTCTTTTCCTGGAAAAAACTAAGAATTTGAAAGGACAACTTTATTCGACGAGATGGCTAAAATGTGAGTGCTTTTGACTTGCAACGTTTTCACTTGGAAGTATTTCGTAAAATCTGAATTTGCCATCACTGCTGAAACGAACAGTGACTAAACAAGAGCAAGGTGTGCATTATCTACTACAATTCAGGGTAAGTTATGCGCTCTCAATTAGTCTCAAAAATGGCAGTCTTCGGGCTAAAAAAATCTTTCTTGTAATAGTTGCAATTACACAGAAACATAAGTCGCATAGTCAAAGTTTGATCTTCACTCAAATCCTTACAGCACTCATAGAAAGAGTTTTCAAAAAAAAGTTGATTTATCAATTACCAATCAACTTTCATTTATAGAAGTCAATTTGTCAATTACAAATCAATCCACTATAATTTATTCCAAATGTTTGTCAGTATTTTTGTCACTTTGAGTTTTATTTATGGTTTGATATTTGTACCCATTCCTAGAGGCTCTCAGTTCAACATGCAATACCTCTCCAAAAATAGATTCTGGGGAAGTCAAGTAAGATCTTACTGATTATGCATTAGCTCATCAAATCATTTTTTTAATTCAGTCTTCAATAACGGATTGGTTGAGGGTCGAGACCCTCAAGCGTAGGAAAGTAGCAGAACCGTTCTTGCTTGAATTGCATTGTAAGAGCAGAGTCTTCATACTAATTTACACTCAATAAGCTCAGAACAGAAGAGTCTGAGTATCTTGCCTTAAATGTTCAACCAACTAGGTCTTTCTTTCACCGAACTCAGGTGTGCAAGAGCACGTAACTGATCTTATTGCTGCCTAGTAATGACTGCCAATGTGTGAAGCATGAATTTGCGTGCGATTCGTGGATATTTCCGTCTTATTGCGCTTTAGTCGTACGAACGACTTTTTCTATACATAGGTTGTTTTGTTCTCGGACGGACAGACAATGCCTTAGCAATGCCTTCAGTGTAGTCTTATGATTTATTTGTTCTTGCTAACATTATTTGGTTGTTTCATCGTTACTTCTCGTAACGAAATATTACCTGTAATTGATTCTGGTGCACTGTTTTTGATAAATTTTTACGATACTTTGATAAATGAGCTTGTGTAAACCTTTCCTGCTAGTATATACGAGTCCAGTTTTTGTGAACAAATCCGTGGATAATTCCCTGTACAAATGGTTCATTACATTAGATTCGCCTCTAACACTTCAAACACATATTTGAACATAAATAGGTGCAAAGTATTGAATATTTGGTCGCTAAATTCTCCTCTCCGAACAGCTTTTGAGGACCGTTAGCTGACACATTGTTTGGTCTCTAACACAGGTTTACAGTACGAAATAAACAACTCACCTCCCTCCCTCCTTACTGTAGGATTACTTTAGGACAGCTACCATTCAAGTAAACTTAGACTTAAAAATGTGGTGCGGTTTGCACACTCACTTTGGACATTGTGGAGCAGTTTGGTTATTTAAATCGCTTTTGTGATTGTTAGAGAAAATACGGTCACATTATAATGTCGCAATTAATGTACTGGAAATTACAGTTCTGCGGAAAGCTCATCCACAAACCAGCAATATTGTCTTATCTTGCAACAAGTTTTTATCTCTTTCGGAGAATTTCTTGGAGCAAAAGCTCTCAATCGCGCAAAATTTCTTTGAAAAGTTCTAACCATACTTTTATTGCAATGGGGAGTGATCGGTGGTACAATTTTTCACATCTAAGTTGAAGCCAGCCATAGAAAATGATATCAGATCTTCGGAAACTGTTCAGACAAGAAGGTTATTATCAACATACGTTTAATATTTTTTTAGACCCTCTCTATTTGTTATGACCAGCAATAATGTTAGGCGTTCAAGTCGTCGGTGTAACGATGCATAAATATCCTTGAGCGAGTTAAAGGCAGCGTCCGGGCAAAATTTCGCCTCTCTTGTTTCTGCCATTATGGGGCCTTTCCGTGGCCCTGATTACATTTGTAAAGTCCAAATTGTTCAAAACTCCTAAAAAACCCGGTTCTTGGCAACTGCACGGATGCAGTGTGTAGTGCAACTGCAATGCAACTGCAATGCAACCGCACACCTGCCTAGGCACTCGTCCTCAGGGGTGGTTTGTGATACGAAGGGGCGGCTTGTGATACGTATCACAGGCTCGTATCTCCTTTTAGAGGGCATGTTAAAGGATTGACCAACGCAGATCGGATACCCATGGGCCCCTCTTTACAACTATGTGCTGATCTGGCTGGATACTTCTTGCCTGGACGCTGCCTTTAATCTTGAATACCGATGAAAACCGCCACTGTTGAGCTACAGTCTGTGTCAGTTATATACCCTTTTTCGCATACGTTGGTAAGAACCACGCATTCATTGAAGGCGAAGAACGATTAAGAGCTTAAAGGGGGCTTGGATGACACTCAGATGCTCCTGGATGGAAAAGGCGATTGGTGCGGGTAGGGGACCGGGATCGCTTTTGGTTGACGGACCTCCATTCGATGAGGTCGGTCTGAATATGCAAACCATGCGCGGCAAACATGTTGCAAAGTTGTGGCGTGGCTTTTGCGCTTACGGAAAAGAGAGCACTCGTTTGATACAGACTGTATCATCGCATGAGGCAAAAAGGGATGATTTTGCTGCTCAGCAGTAGTATTGCAATCGAGTAATGTCTATAAAGCCATTTATTATATGCACGAAATTAGAAATGAATGATATTACAGCTATTCACTCTTGACATACTATGTATATCACTATCAATGATTTAAGCATTCCATTCGAAAGGAGCAATCGTTCCGGTGCCCTGGTTGAATGCAAGAAAAAGGCATTTCAATCTACACAATTAACTTTTTGCACATAGAAAATTCTTGTGTGGTTATAACGTGCCAATCTGGCAAATTCGGGAAACGTGGAATTTGGGTTACCTTCGGTGTCGATAACAGTGACCCATCTTGGGGTGGGGGTGCACCAGTATTGCGCAATAGCGTAAGGTGATTTTGCATTGTAATTAAGACAAGCGAATGGAACTTCACTTCTACATAGACTATCGTTATATTCCGTAGTGTACATCCAATCCGCAATGCCTGGAATTAAACTAGTAGTAACGAAAATGTCAAGTAAAAAGAAAACTCCTGCTGATTCGTTCGGAACACACGGTTAACGTGCAACCGTCCAGCTCGGAAGATGAGGGTGAGAATCTAAATCTCTAGAATTTTCGGCTCATAATCGACTTACAAATGATGTATAGTTATACAAGCAAGTGCGTATGTCATCCGGTGTTTCAGCCCAGCTCGTCTTTGTTACGGCTTCCCATTCACTATAGTTATATCTACGATCGCATATGTCGTCGATCGACAATTTTACAGTCGGTTTTTTGGTATAACTTTGCGGTCTAGATACAGTTGCAGTTGGGCAAGATGTTTGCTCCTCGTCGAATGAATACGCAAAAGCCTTGCTAGCGGAGTCCAGATCGTGCACTTCGGTACCGTACTTGTAAGTTTTGCAGAATCCCTGCAAGTGAACATGCAATGACGTTCAAGAATGTAGATGCACACACTTGTTTATGCACTTTTTCTGAGATTTTATATATTAAATTTTTCGTTCATACCTCATTGTACTCCATGAAAGTGCATTCCAGAACCATTGAGCATTTACTCATGCATTCTTCTTCAGTAGTCTCATCGAATGTGGCCATCAAAGATGCGTTGAAACTGCCTGTCACACTTCTGAATGTGCAATGCAAACTCCTGTTGATCTAAAATGGCAAGTTTATATGATGGATCAAAGCATCAGAAAAACTCAACCAAGACGTAGAAGACGAAAACCAGAAGCCAGTCCGGCTTTGCTTGGAAGAAACTCATCTTGCTAGCGGCAGGCCTTGGTCAAGATTTTTTCAATACTGAAATAACGCTTCACTAGTCACTCATTCACGCCCCTTTCGAAATACAAGAAAAAACAAAAGAGGCGTACATCCATTCAGCCAATAGGAAGAGCCGTAATACCGTAACCTGAGGAGAGTCAAGATGAAGAAGTACAATATCCAACGGTTTAGTGAAGTGAAATTCTGAGAATTGCCGTACTTTTTTGAAACACCTGGAATTCTATTACCTAAACTAAGGAACAAAAAATTGAGGAATCGAATGGAATTTTCTACATTTCTAATACGACTAAAACTGAAAATAGTTACCATTATACAGGATGAGTCCCAAAAGTGAGTACACAGTTTTCACCAACTCTTTTCCTCAAGTTCAAGCGCCATTCAATAGAAGAGGCTTCAGCTTAGGTTCACAATATGGGGCAAGTCACCCAACTCTCTTCATTACTGTGGGATTACAGTAGGAACTTCCAGCATATGGAGTCATCGTGAAATAAACGGTTTGCACAAAACGTTTCAAAAAATCTGGAAAATTTTTCAGACATGCTGACTTCATCAGACAACTATCTCTGAGTTTTTGAGAATTTCAAATGGTCCGATCACGCTCTTGGAAAACACGGGAAAAGACGTGTTGCGGTACACTCGGCACAACCTCTGAAAATGCCTTACGGTAAAATGCGAGTTTTATATCGATAATCGACGACTCAGTTTAACGCTTTATCTGCCTACAAAATATGTGTTTTTTCTCAGTCCTGAGTCATGACGAACGTTTCTAGGATAAGGATACGATATGAGTTTGAAGCGATTTCTAGTACCGTATTGCTGAGTAGGTTTATAACTTCACAGAAAAGGTGGAAAATGTAGAAAAAGTTTTTACAGCCATATTTTTATGGCTGTTTCTGAGCTCACAAAAGATGAAAAAAGATACTAAGTCCAGTGTTACGTAAAATTTCAGCGCCATTATACAAGGTGTCCCGAAAAAATGTTTAGAACGTTTGATCGTTAATATCTCTCTTCCCAAGAAGTCTTTTGCCTTGCTTCAGGTATTGTTTTGTAGAGCTGGCTTCAACTTAGATTTCCATTATAGAACGAATCACCCATCTCTCTTCATTACTGTAGGATTACGGTAAAAACTTGAAACATATGGTGTCAATGTGGAAAAAGCTACCTTTTCAAAATTTTTCAAAAAATTGTGAAAACTTGTGTAATAGGGTTTTTATAGAAGCTGAGTTCAATACTCAACTATTCACAAGATTAAGAAGCTTTCTAAACGGTGTAACCGCACTTTTTAGGACATTGAAAAAAGGCCGCTACCTCTCACCTGGCATAATTCTTCAATGAAGCATCATAATAAGTTGGGAACTCTACAGTTATAATCAACAACTCTGATTAACCTAGTGTAAAAGTTTACAGGCTGTTTTGTCTCCTTTCTGAGGCAAAATGTGGCCTTTCATGGTTCAAAACCCTCTTTGAAGTTTCTACCGTAACCCTACAGTAATGAAGAGAGATGGGTGATTCATTCTATAATGGAAATCTAAGTTGAAGCCAGGTCTACAAAACGGTACCTGAAGCAAGGCAAAAGACTTCTTGGGAAGAGAGATATTAACGATCAAACGTTCTAAACATTTTTTTGGGACACCCTGTATAATGTACATTGACATTGGAAGAATAACTGTTGCGCTTTTTTTTCACTTAAATCAAGCAAAGAGTCAAATTCGCTCTTTTCAACTCCTCCAATATAGAAAGGCAAACAAATTCGGCACAAATGCGCTGAGTAAGCCTTTTTCTTCTTTCTCATGGCTGTTTTCCATTGAAATTGAAGCAGTTACAGAGAAAATTGCAGTATTTTATTTTATTTTTTGCGTGCTCTAGTACCAGAATCAGGAAATCTAACTGAGAAGCAAAAAGCGCTCATTCACTTTGTAAAATCAGATCTAGCAATAAACATGTGAACACGAAAAGTGATTTTTTCGTAACTTACAACTATCTCAATTTTATTTCTGGAAGTTTTGAAAAAGTAGCTGAAGACATGCCAAGTGGTGCGCATTGCAAAAGCTTGGCTTTTCTTAATTATTACTCAACTCTTCCAGAAGTGTGGAAAATTAATGAAACTTCCTCAATCTAGGCAAGGTGAAAACAATGTGTTAGAAACTTCAAGGATTATCCGATTGAAAGAATCGAAAGAATCACTTTCCATAGCTGTCAGAAAGAGGAAGATATGTCTTCCGCTACACGACTAAATTTCATAGCCTTTTCTAAAAGATTTGCAGATAAATCCACAAAATGGCACGAACTCTTTCACTGACCTAATGTATTAGTAATATATCAATCCGGCAGTTCATTCTGCCTTTTGTAAGACTTGGGACTGAGCAACGGACGGACCAGAGTGTCCACAACGACTAGAAATCCATACCTTATGATAGTGCTGGATCGCACACTAGCCTTCGCTGAGACTAAACGTTTTCGTTCACTCAGGATATCCAAAAATAAGGCGGGTTCGTATGTTAGCTACTTTTTCTTCTTTCTTGTTCCTTTCGGTCCCATGTCGAAAAAAGATGATGCCAAGCATAATTTCGTTTGAAACGGCTGTACCAGGAAACTGAAGAAATGCATGAGAGTTTGGACAAAAAAGCGATGTTAGTTGTTACAGAGTTTTTTTGAGGCACGAATTTTGCTTGAGGTTTATTACGGTCCAGTTTTCTAGGACTTTAGTCCCAAAATCCTTTTTCTTATGCTCATGAATTATACATCTATGGAATGAGGAGGGGGAATTTGCATCAGGCCCTGAGCCTACCCCACGCGATTTTAGTCGCGACGTGATTTGGCAATACTCTAATTGTTTTCAATTCTCATAACTCCTATAGGGCTTTTAAATGTACGGAAGCTAGGGCATTTATTTAATCTACGGAAGTTATAAATGCTGTGCATTTGGGGTCTGTCAGCATTGAATTCAAGGACATCTGGCAAATTGCAAATCGCGTGGCAACTGAAATCGCGCGTAGTATACCCGCGGCCTTAAGCTTAAGGCATACCTCGCGCGATTCCGGTCGTTGCGCGATTTGGCACAACAGCGACTCTTCGTAATTCGTCGTTAATGCGCTATCTTTGGTCAGAACTTGCTCCATTTGCAACAACTTACACAAGCTACCCATATATGCATCCGAGAAGCGCGCACGATAAATTTGTAGAAATTTGGCAAATCGCCAAGTCGCGTGAAAGTGGCGATTCGGCCGAATCGCGTGAGGTATGCTTTAGGCCTAAGATTCATTCGATTCGTTAAGAATCGCCAAAACCAGAGCAAAGTTGTTCCAATGCCCGGCCGGAAGGTGTGCTCTACTGATTTTGGACCTGATCTTAACTGCACACCAGTCGTACGATTTCTGCTTTAGACTCGACTCAAAATGTATGAAGAATTTTGACAGTAAACTAAGATTTCCGATGGGATACGTCAATGTGCCGAAGATCACCACAAAATGGGGGTGTTGTCTACCACGATCTATGTGATTCATTCTTTTCGCTATTTAGAAGTGGGTCTATCGAAAGTTCTCTAGTTATTTATCTTGTTAAGAAAGAAGCAACGTTTGTCTTCTTAGGAAAGAAGCAATCTGGTGTGTGATGGATTCAAAGCAAGATATTGTTACTGAAAAATGTGAGTTATGCGAGAAATACTATTTGTATCAAAATTTGGGGTTTCATCCAGTGTCCGAGGTACGGGACAGGAATGATTTTCAAAATCAATTTTTTCTAATTGTATTCATCAGACAAAACTTGAGGCTTTATAGGACATTTTTGATATGTAGAAAAGCATAATTTCCATAAAAAGCTTGTACAACACACTCCGCAGGCATATTGGACGGTAGTTAGTCAGAAGCCCCCCCCCATTCGCCTTTTTTTAGAAAAAAAGAGCGATTCGTGGAATCTTCGCTGTTCTGTAATCTTTTCCTTTTGAAGGTAATGTCAATTGGAACGCGAAAATCTAGTGTAAGCGTTGTCTACGTCGCGCAAAATGAGACTTCACAGATTTAAACTGTTTTTTTCATTTCGCTACCCAACAGCTTTTGTAAATTTTCTCAGACTGCAGTTCTGCTACTTTGAACCTAACTTAATTGGTATAATCTTCTAAAATACCCGACCTGTCTGCTAACAAAGACATGATTGATATATAGTAATTTCAACGTTGTCCATGTCGTAAATCCGTTGCCAGGATCTTGCCTTGTGTAATTAGGTGCCACGATTGATTGGCATAATAAATGTTAGTTTCAAACAAAGAAAATATTTTTTTCAGCATCCGAAATAAGGCCCAACTTCGCTTGATTTCGATTAACTATGGAATCCATAGCGTGAGGGGCTGAGGAGGGCTGGTATTTGACAGGAAAATTATTTAAATCTCAACATTTTAACGGGAGAAAACAGAGAATGCTAACTTTAATTGAACGAAGATCGTCCCCAAGCGAATAGCTCGAAAATAAATAGACTAAGTATAGCTCCGCGTGTTACATATTAGCACAGAAATGCAATGTGAGTATATGATTTTATCAGTAGTCTAATTTGCTCCAACAAAATAAGAACGAGCAGTTTCTAAATTGTTGCCGGATAAGCTACTCCAAGGGATAGTCAGCAATACCCCATAAGCCCGGGCTCCTACTTTGCAATACTGTAATTTAGAATTTTGAAAATGTTTTTGTTTCCATTAGCCACTTAATGCTGCAATCCTCTACAACTATGTGTGAGCTCAAAATAACCGCCAAAATTTCTGTAGGAACTGGACCAAATTAGTGCTCTGTAGGGCGCAAAAATCTGAATTTGTATGTTTACAGCTTATTTCGTAGTTGGAAAACTCAACAAGGGGTATGGAAGCTTTGCACTGCCAATTGTGGGAGTTGCGTTCCAAAAGCTTTATATCTGCTTGAGATTGCGAGCATTGGCCGTTTGGTCTTTGGAAAGTATGGCTATTTGTTTCTGAAGAGTATATGAAAATTATAAAGACGCAATAACCAAGGCCCGGCATAAGTCCGTCTTATGAGAAAACGAAGCCTCCTTTATTTTCGCGAAATTTTACGAAGTTCTCTATGACTTTCAGCCGTAAACGTAAGCACCTAAGAAAGGAAACGTCGCGATTTTTGACCACAAAAATAATATCCACTTTGCTTTTTCGCCCCAAAATCGAAGTCTAGCACATGAATCTTCACGATCTGCGCCGGGCCCTGGTAATAACCAAGGAGTCTTATGATTGGACTATTTTTCTTCCTTCTTCTAGATAACGATCCACTTATCTGGTTGATGAATGCTCAGTTTTTATACGTTGATTCTGCTTTCCTTCGCTTGGTTGTCCCAAGTCACTGAATTTGGCCTACGGCCTGTGGCCTCAAAGGAATTTTCTTCTTGAGCTTTACAAAAGATTCTATTCATGTTGCGTTATAGGTAAATGCTTACACACAATGCTGCACATTGAATGAAAAAACAACTTCCAAGAATGGAAAAGTGGAAAACTTTATTACGACCATGCATTTGCCAAATTTTTGAATTCATGCGTTACTCCCGAATCAAGCAATGCCGAAATTTCAGTTCTGTACTGTATTTGTCATTTTTTTATAATAGGCGTACAAATGAAATCTCTATTTCCTTTCAAAAAGAATTAGACTTTCGCTAAACTTCTTTCCAGGAGTTATAGGTCATTTATCCCACATAATATAGCTAAACTTCACGTTTTCCGTTGCTCTGGCGATAAAATGAGCTTCAAAATTGTGTATGTGTTTAAAGCACCTTTTGTTTAGAACTACCATTTGTTATACCACTTATCCATGTCACCTCACTACACAAAGCAAACTCCTGGCAACGGATTTACGACAACACAGCAAGGACAATGGAAGCCACCTCAACATTAGAGCCTCTTACAAAAGCTGTTAGCAAATAATGCAGCCTTTCTGAATCAAAAGAAAATATAATCAGATTTGAGTTCAAAATTTGAAGAAAAGTTTGCATATGCTATTGGACTGAGTACGATGGAATGTGCGCATGACTTGTAAGGTTGAGTGTCATGGATAATGCGCGTAACGGGGTAAACCTTGGTTGAACTCTATTTTTTTGAACCTCTAATAAAACTTGATCTTCAGGCAAACTGACCTGTTAGATAAGCCATATGTCGCAGAAGGGATCAAAAGCGCTCAAAAGCACCACCGAGAAGCGCCAAAACGCTTCTCTCGTGCGCGCAATTTGGCACTGGAGCGTTAATGTTGAGTACGTCGTACAATACTAAAGGTGTTTTCTAGCACAGCAACAAAAAATTGTAATCTTACGAGACTAAACAAGAGCGTAAAGCTAGACGCACTTTGACTTCTATATTCCAGTAACAAAGAATTTTTTGGACTGCTCAGCCACGAGCAAGAATTTCAGAGAACGCTGTTGTCCGCTATATACAGGGTGTCCCAAAAATGTGACTTCTGTTTAATTCCTAATACTCTCCTGTCATGGAATCTTTCGGGAAAGACTAGGTACTAATTTGTAGAATTGGCTTCAACTTAGAGCTGCAGTATAGAGCGAATTACCTATCTCCCTTCATTACTGTAATATAAGGCTAGGAACTCGTGGCATTTGGTGCCAGTAAACTAAAGAAATTTTCAAAAAAATCTGAAAATTTGTGTAAAAGGTTTTCTTGCAGGCTAATTTTACTACAAATTTTTGCGTATTCGTAGAGCTTTTTGAATGTCCCAATCAAATTTTCGGAATATTGGAAAACCGTCGTTGGATTATACCTGGCATAAATCATTAAAAAAGCACTACGGAAAGTGTGAGTTTCATATTTGGAATCAGCGACCCTGATTACCCTAGTGAAGACCCTCAATGACGCAAGACCCTTTTCAAAGTTCCTACCGTAATCCTACAGTAACGAAGAGAAAACAATGATTGGCTCCATACCATAAGCCTAAGTTAAAGGCAGCTCTACACAACAGTACTCAAAGCTTCTCGAAACACTAAACAACAAGGGAGTTATTAACAATTAAACAGTAGGCATATTTTTGGGACACCTGTGAAAGCTACTTTGAGTGAATCAACTATGCTTTGAACGTTGACCAAAAAGCCAAAAATATCTGTAATGTTAGATGCGCCTGCAAATCACGTCAAATTGTTGAGCAAAAATAATGAGAATAGAATTTTGGAGCTTGAGCCGACATGGCTTGATCGAAGCAGGTTCATATATGACATTCATGATATCATTATTCAATACATGCACATCATGTTGAGTACGATTTATTGTAGACATTCGTGTAGCCTGAGCGTTATTTCAAATGCTACGCTCCAGCGCAAAATTTAAGTGCGTGACAGGAAGAGTAGCACCCCTTAGAAGCTGGTCAATACTTTCGAGCTCTTTCGAGGTTTTTTGACATATAGTGAGTGCCTTATACTAACTATATTTCTGCAGCAAGTGACTCGCACACACTAGTAGTCTCTGAGAAGTAGATTGCCTTCGGCACATGCCTTCAAAAATTTGTGAGAACGCGAGAAACCCTCTTTAACTTCATTTTCTTTTACATTTGATGTGATCTTATCCTAATATGATTGCTGTTATACAATCTGGGACTGAGTCAATCTCTCCAGAACTCTGCTTTTCTGAGCGCTTTTGGCTCCTTTTGGCGCTACTATGACTGCTTCTTGGCAGGTCACTTTGCTTGAAGATATTTGTTATTTCACCTAGCTCTTCGCAAAGCTGGCAGAATCAAGAATTCGGATATGAAAGCATGTGGTTCACACTTGGCTTACCGCGCCATTAAGTATATGCAATTAGCACAATGATCGCGGTTAGTGGAGCACCTCGTTGGAATAAACATATCCCAGAAAGTTGAGTGTTACCGTAATTTACCGTATATTTGCTGCGTGCTACCTTCTTCAGTAGGTAGGCTGAACGAATTGGGTTCCGGAACACCCAACTTTGTGGCTGTGGGTCCCGTGGGTTCCTACCCTTGAGTTGCTGATGAGTAAGGCCACATATAGGTTTGAGAATCCTACCATTTTCTAGCAGGGGTGACAACGGTTACAAGGAATTTTACTTTAGTGTATGATAACGCAAAACAAAGTCTTTCCATCGCAAAATAACGGGTCGTTAACTAAGTTTTGCAGCTTCCTCAATAACTTTGGGGCCCCTCAACTACGACACAGTCAAATTTCGCCATTACTAGATGACATGAGCTACAAATCAGTTGGTGTTCTGCCAAATTCTGGCGTTGTAGTCAGGATTACGGTAGGATATGTAAGGGGAGAAATTATAGATCATTACAGATTTTTCTGAAACTGGGCATGAGGGGGAGGGAAAAATCTGACATGCTAATTATGAGAACGTCCCGACTTTGCAGGTAGGACATTCTTTTGTAAGGTTACGGTAGGTTTGCTGTCGGATTTCACCCTGAACACGAAAAAAGATCCGCGTTTCTCAGGTCTAATAACTCCGCAATGCGGGGTCCAGACAAATTTTGAGAGTTGAAAAATGTTTAATTCCTTGGTCACTGGCGAATATCTCTGACAGACCTTGCGTATAGCGACTCGTTCAACTTCCTAAGGTCCAGATCTCGAACTGTCTTTGAATTCCATTCCTCCCTTAAGGGCCGGACATACTTCACACGATCTCAGTCGCGACGCGATTTGGCAATATTCCCACTGTCCATAACTCCTGTAAGCACATTCTAAATGTACAGGAGATATGGCATTTTATCAATTACGTAAGTCATGCACACTATCATGTGCACTTTGCTAGTGTTAGCTGAAGGCTTCTGGCAAATTGCCACATCGTCGCGACTGAAATCGCGTAAAGTATGCCCGGCCCTTTACTGAGCTGAGCAAGTCAATCTTTAGCAACGTTTTATGTAATACCTTCTGTATCGTTGTACCAGTTCATAGTTCATTTTATATACTACATCATATCAAACGAAAAGATGTGCCAGCATCAAAAGGCGAAAACTTTCGGAATCATTTGCAATATTAATAACCCAGTAAGTAATCAACCATGGAATAAATTATTTATCCAGCTCAAACGCCAATTAAAACTTTCTTGATGTTACGAGACGATGCATGCAGACTGTCCTCATTTAGCTTCAAGAATATTTCCTGAAAGCATTTCATCAAAGCTTGAATATCAGTTGATTGTTGTGTGAAAAGATAGTCACTATGACCTACATTCGACAAATTCTTTCCTTTATCCATGCTGCCAATGAGTCCCTACTTTCAGTATTTGTGAAGGCTTTCACGTTTTTAGCACCGAACACTGGTGTGAGTGTAGGAACAACTTGACCATCGGGAGTTAAATCGATCGCTAGTAATTTGTAGCCCTGGAGAGATGAGATTAAGACAAGTTTTACAAAGGTGACAATGAAACCTCTTTGGAAAGATTTGTGTATGCTACACGAATGTCATCCATAGATCTGAAAAAGACATAAATGAGATTACAAATGGGATTGGAATATGATTTTTGTGATACTCACTTCTGACCCATGAGCACTACAGCAAACGGAGGTTTGAAATCTGTGACTACTGAGTCAGAACTGTTACGAAATCCTTCCATTGAACTGAAATAATCGAGACCTTAATGAAGATACATCACATTTGATATCTTTCAAACGTACGCTCCAGCATTCAACACAAACTGTCCAAAATAGTCATTCTTAGTTATGGTTTTGATATCACCATCTATATCGCCTGTACTTTTAGCTTTTCCTCCCGGGATATAAGCCTGTGCCATTCCTGGAAATGCGCTTTGCTATTTGGCTATTTTTTAGCTAAATGATGAATTTCTCGGGAACCTTCCTAATATGCTGGAAAAGCCTTTGCAATTAGAAATTTCGAACTCAACATCTGGCAAAACGTATGGCATCACGGTCTTATAATACGACCAGATTTAGCGTTCACAAAAAAAATGAAATTAATTTATTTCTTGCATAAGGTACATGTGACTACATTGTGCATGCCAATCATAGTTGATGAGGCAGCGAGTAAACCTTATCCTATGATATTACTGTCAATTTCATTCTTTTATTTTACCTTAACTAAATGCACTTGCCTTTTTGGAGAAGTTCCACAAACTTTTGAGCTAAAAACTAAACTTACCGTTATAAACCTCCCACTTCGTGATTGCGACGGAAAAATTACTGGATTCTAACATACTAAACCCCTTATGCTTCTTCGTTTTTATCAGATTCTGCATTGTTATTAGCCAGGTTTCGAGAGTTTTGACCACTTTTTCTCTGTTTTTGAATAACTGAGGAATTGAAATGGAATTTTGAAACTCGCATTCTAGTTTGTATGCGCTATTCAACATAAAGGCACTATGCATCTTACTTAATTGGCCTTCTGAAAAGCGATGTCTACATTCGGAGTCGATTTGAAATGATGGTTTTCAAATATTTTATCCATAGCTAAGAGGCGTTACTCTAAAGCAAGCTATGAGCTCTTTCCTGGGCAAAATTTGGGTGTTGACCGACTTACCGATGTCATGCATCATTATCTATTTAGCGGTGGCGTACTGAGGTGGGAGGAGGGGGGGGGGGGGCAGAATGGACCCGAGAATGGGTCGCAAAATTTTGAAAGTTACTTACGTTAATTATAAAATTGTGCATGTGACTTGTTCATAGTTGGAATAATAAATGTAATTTGCAAAATTTTTTTGAAAATTCACTTTAGCCTGTAAAAGAATTTTTTTCAGAGGCCGCAAGAATTCCCTCCCTCTCCTGAATGGAAATCCTGAGTACGCCACTGCTAGGTAGTGATTCAGATACCTAATGGTCTCTGTAAACACCAAATGACCTAACGTGATGTTAGAAATTTGATGTTCCACCACTTTTTCGCTCAGACTCCTTTCACGGATCGTCTTTCCAATATCGTTCGTATGTCAATAACCCATACTTAAAGCTTCACACACTTCAAAACCATGCTTCGCAGTTGCGGACAGCATATTCAAAATCGGCGTTAGAAGATGATTTCGAGTAGATGCGTCTTTCTCCAAGAGGCCAAACTAGCTTATAAGGAAAGGTTTTTTTCGAAGTGGCCTTTCTACATGACATCTGCATCACTTTTAGAGCATGCAAATCTGTCTTCCTAATCTGCCAAGAGCCTTTAGAGACTAGGTTTATTTTGGGTCGGAAAATTGAATGCGCAAAAAAATTGTTCAGAGTTGCTCAAATTCTTGGATGTTGATTAGCAGAGCACTTCCTTCAATGAATACCTTTTGTTCAATACGCTCATACTCAACACTGCTCTATTTGAGTGCAGAAAACCATAAATATTGTCTCAAACTTTCCAGCATACTATTAAAAAATGATAAAAGGTGTCATTCTTGAAATAAATCAATCGAACTTTAGAATTTTGTAAGAACCAACCTGCAATTGTAAAGGTTGTCTGGAGATTTTTATCGCCTAGGTTGAACTGAGCAGCAACTGTCATTATCAGCGTCTCTTGCTAGAATTTGATTCTAATTAATTTGTTTCCTACTTTGATCAGGTAAATCATATTTGGACGCTACCTCGTCAAGAAGAAAAGAATTCGATGCGTCGATCAGAAAACTAATCGTAAAATTTGTTGTCTTGGGAAAACACTTAGGAGGTGGACCTTCCGTTGTTTCTGGAACAATATGCATCTTCTTCAAAATTTTGGGTGGATAAAAAACCGAACTTGTTGCACCTGTCAGTTTCATTTGTACTCTCTTTTATTTGTATATTCAAGGTCGTAAGCTTGTGGAAAACCAAGAAAGGATTCAAAAAAGGATTCCGGAAACTGTGGTTTTCCCTCAAAAATTTTTGAAGCCGCTGGCCTACTGTAGACTGTCCGAAGAGGGCTACTGGAAAGTAGATTTGAACTCACCGAGAGTGGTCGTAAGGATTGTTGATGACGCTGTTGTGAGCCAAGCGGAGGTAGACATTCCTTTTGAGGAAGGTTGTGAAGATTGTCTCGTGGCTTAATCATACACTTTGTGATCGTACGACTCCAAAACTTGAGTAAAAACACAAGAAAAAAAACACGTTAAATATGGAGAAGCACTTGTGATTTGCTTGAATTTACTGTCATCGCAAAATTTTTGTTGCACTCATATATTGCAAATGGCATTCAGTGTACCACAGTATCTGTTCTCGCTTAGCGATCATCACCTCAAAGGTTCGATGACGCGTGGGCGCGCATTTTGCGGAAGCATTAACAAGCCTCGTGTTGGTTTGCGGACTGCTTTAAGGGATTCGACAGTTGTGCTAAAAATAGCCGTTGAACTGTCCAATGAGCCGAACCCGGTTCGTGATTCATTCTGAATTGTCGCGAGCCGGGTGGAGGACTATATGTTGCCGAAAGTGGGAGGGTCCCGCGCGATCAATGCAACAGGTACTCAGCCTATACAAATATTAGAATGTGCATTTGTTGCAGATGTCCGGTGAAACCTTCCACTTTCGGCGACATATAGTCCTCCACCCGGCTCGCGACAATTCAGAATGACTCCAAAACTCCAAAAACTCCAATGACAATTCATTATTATCATTTCAATTTTATTACTAGTTTTTTATATAGTCCCCTATCCTCGCGTGCCTAGTTTGTACATGTTTGGCGTTTCTGGCGATTACTAAAGGTCATGCTGTTTTGAATGAGGTATCAGTCAAAGACAAAGGAGCTGGGGTGCTGCTGGAGTGTGCATGGTCGCTAACCAGCCTTTTCTTTCTGACACGAGTTCCTCATAGCCAATTTCGCAGCGTGATTTACAATCGATTTTTGTTGAGGGGGTTACTGTGCATCTTTAAAGTTTTACAGGTCTTAATATCCAGACTACCCTCTACCTCCAACTTTCGAGTAGAAAATACAACGCAAACATACACACCATTCTCTGAATACGAAACACTTATTATAGGTAATATTTGAAACAACTTTTGCTGTGCACTGAGACCTCTACAAAACCGTCAGCGAACATAGAACACAAAATCTGCCGTTATTATAACATTTTATGAGAAAAAGCATGATCCAATTCTATCGCTTCACTAACCGCTAGATGTAGTTGTTGTGGCTAGCGACGTATCACCCAGAGCTGAAAGCAAAGAGATACCGTTCGTATACATCAAAATCTAAGCAAAAAATTACGAAGTGCAGGTAGTTTATCATTGAGGATTTTGCCAGACTGTGCTTGTACCATTCCCAGTCTACAGTCGAGTAGATTTTCCGTTTGATATATTGTGCTCGCACTGCAGATAAGATGCGGTAAAATTTGCGCGTGAGCGAATAGCCAGGCCAGTAATGCAGCTTTTGCGCGCGCAATTGGCCGTCGTCACACGCGTATCTATTAGTTAACGCGCAAAATTTACCGCATTTTACCTGCGGTGCGAGCACCTATACAGGGTGTCCTCCTCAAAAAATGTGCACACTGTTTGATTTTTAACTCTCTTGCTTTAACGTCTTTAAGCAAGCTTTTGGTGTCATTCTCTAAAGCGAGGTTCAGCTTAGATTTACAGTATAGAGCTTATTAAATCGCTCTTCATTACTGTAGGATTATGGCAGAAAATTCAAGAAGGATTTTAGGTCGCTGAGAGCGATACGCTGTTTCAAAAAAAACCCAAGGATGTTATTTACTGAATCGCATCTTTCATAAGCTATTCTGAGAATATAATGACAAGCGTTTCTCAAATGTTGGTCAAAAAATGTTTTTGCAACCACTGAGAAAGCTCAAAAAGTCGTAGAAAGTTGTGTAGTAAAATCACCACGCGCGAAAACCCTTCTACACAATTTTTCAGATTGAAGGACTTTAGACGGCCTTTTCTAAAATGGTTCTATGTATTGAAGGACTCTAGACGGCCTTTTTTAAAATGATTTTATATACTAAAAGTTCTTACCGTACTCCTACATTAGTGAAGAGCAATCGCTGATTCTCTTCGTACTGTAAATCTAACAAGAAAAGGATAGTTGGATGCCGCGGCCATTCCTAATGATTTGTATACCAAAAAATGCGCCTTCGAATGCAGATTCTGAACCTGTGCTCGAAATCTGCGAAACGATCTTTTAAAGAAAGTTATGAACTTTTTTCCTTGAAAATTTAGCCTACTTTTGGATAGTAAAAATCACCACATTTGACTAGCCTACCGTTTGATGCTACAGAAGAAAGTTTTAGACGTAGTAATATTTATTTAGACTATATGGATCATACTCAGCATTTGGGCTCCCGCCAGAGTGCCGAAGTTATGCCAGCGCTACGCCAGCATTTCGATCGATACACGTGTATTTCGTTGGGGACGTCAGCTAGCCCCGCCCAACGAAACACACGTGTATCGATCGAAATGCTGGCGTAGCGCTGGCATAACTTCGGCACTCTGGCGGGAGCCTTGGAAAGGAGAGAAAATTTTTTTATTGATGATTTTGACCCTCCGCAGGGACGCAATTTTTTTGATGAAAAAAATCATAACTCCATTCAGATTATCGTTTCGCAGATATGAAAGACAGTCTACGAACCAGCATTCAAAAGCGCATTTTTTGGTATACAAATCATTATGAATGGCTACGGCATCCAAGTATCCTTCCCCTGTAAGATGTACCTCGCTCTACACAGAGTTACCTTAAGTTTGCCGAAAGACATCAAAGCAAGAGAGTTATTGACGATCAAACACTGTACACATTCTTTTGGGACACTGTATTGAGCGGAAAATCTACTCGACTGTAGTTCAATTCCATACTGAACTCCCTTCTCAACTGACTTTCGCTTTATCAAACTACTCGTTAGAAGTGGTTATATGCTTTATATTAGATGAAAAATTCATGTCTTTTGCGTTTCCCTGTAATATCTTATCATACCCTGCAATTTTGCAGAACCCCCACATGGTCGGTCGCCTCATCGTGGCGTGGGGGTGACACTGGGTGTCGAACTGCAATGACAGCCGAGTGTATACTCTGGTAGGCCTCCCAAGCTGTGAAGGAGTTCGACGTTTCCGGTTTCGGCCGGATGCCTAGCTAAGAACCGGCCACGCCAGATCCTCCGCCGTCTGGCTTCTTCTAATCGCTAGGCGGTCCCTCCCCGCCCCGCACCTTAGGAGCGATCGCCTCTGGAAATCAAGAGTTGACCTAATAGTCTGCTCTTGTAGGGAAAACATTTTTATTACTCGATCAGCAAAAAGAAGAGAAATAAACCCTGCACATCGGATCCCGCCTACGGCGCCGGATGGTAGCAAGAACAATGTCAGGGTAATCAGGGCTCCTTTCGGATTGGACAAAAACGACACGTCTGCCCGGACGACACGCCATGGAGGCTGCCCTCATGCTCTGCACCTACAACGCCAGGACAGTCTCCACAAACGCCCACCTCTACGCTCTTCTCGACGTTGCAGAGCATATCAAGTACCACGTCACCGCTCTGCAGGAAACGAAGTCCAGGAAGAAGGACGTGCGACAGATGAGTGATGGGAAGCTCATCATTCGTGGTGAGAAGGTTCCATCACGAAACGTGGGAGGCGTTGGTTTCGTCGTCCACCCATCTATCATCCATCTTGTCAATTCGCATGAGATCTATCACCTCGAATAGCCATCCTACGACTGCGACCTCCACGTCAGAAGACGGTGGACCATCAGCATCATCAACTGCTACTCACCAACATCAGCAGCTGACGATTCAGAGCTAGATGCTTTCTACGAAGACGTGTAGCAGGTCGTCCGCAATAAGAAGTCCTTCTACAAATTCGTTGTGGGCGACTTCAACGCGAAGATCGGGATGCCACTAGAAGAGGAATATAGGATCGGGAAGGGCTATATATGAGCTCCGCCACGAAAACGGCAACCGTCTTGTTGGGCTTCTCTCCACTGCACAACTTTTCCATGGGAATTCCATTTTCATAAAGAAAGAACATCGCCGGTGAACTTAGGAATCGCCCAACGGAACGACTCATGTGGAGATCGACCACATTCTCACCAACCGAAGGTGGAGTGCTCCATGTCCCAGTAGTTCCATTCTTCTGCAGTGGCTCCGATCACCGCCTCCTTCGAGCAAAGATACGACTCAGCCGAAGGCTGAAAAAGAAAGTCTGTCATAGTGCCGCGAGAAGGAAGAAAGTCGTTTATGACGGTAATAGGCTGGAAGAGCTCATATCAAGTTGTGACTTGCCCATCGAGGAAAACCCAACGTACGACTACGACCGGCTCATGAAAGGATTGCGAGCCTGCGGAGAGTGCGCCTCAGACTTCTGAGAAGAACTTGAAACGCATTTCGAAGACCACCGAGGAATTGCTCAAAGAAGAAGATTTCTGCGGCAGGATTCGAATGCAACTCATCTCGAGCGACTAATAGCCAACGCCACTTGCAGAACAGCCTTGCAGGAGGATGGAAGTACAGGCAAGCCAAGATACTGGAAGCAGCCGAAGGAAGACGAAGTCTCAAGAAATGCCGAAGGGAACTCGGTGAATATCACGTGCCGCTAACTGCACTATTGAACGAAGACGGGACTCCGACTTCTTCCCGATACAAGATGGAATCTATCGCGAAGAACTTCTACACCAACCTCTTCCGCTCATCAGCACCCATGCCGATGCCCGTTGTTCCCACTGGAGAAGTACCACCAATGATTCTACCTGCTGAAGTGCGTATTGCGATACAGACCATGACGACGTCCACGGCCCCAGGACCAGTTCACTTTTCCGTCGAACTTCTGCGAGCCGGAGGACACCATCTACGCGAGGTTCTAGCGTCGCATTTAACATCTTACCTTCAGAAGGAGAAGATTTCCGACCAGTGGAAAACATCAAGAACCGTCCTTCTCTTCAAGAAAGGCGAACGGAAGGATCTTCGGAACTACCGTCCAATATGCCTGCTGAGTGTGCTGTACAAGCTTTTCACGAAGATTATCCTCGCTCGCATATCTATGGCACTGGATGAAGCTCAACCTCAAGAACAAGCTGGATTTCGCAAGGAATTTATTGCATGGACCACATCAGACGGTCTCGAGGGTCGTCGAAGTCTGCCGGGAATACCGATTGCCTCTCGTCCTAATCTTCGTCGACTACGAGAAAGCCTTTGACAGCGTCGAAACGAACGCCATTCTGTCAGCGTTAGTCGATCAAGGAGTAGACCGAACTTACGTAAGGACACTTGCCGACTGCTACGAGGACTGTACAAGAACGATGCAGCTTTTCCATCGCCCCCTGACCATTCCAATTGAGAAGCGGGTTCGACACAGCGACACTATTTCGCCGAAGCTGTTCACTGCCGCCTCGCAGTGGGTGATGAAATCACTGGACTGGTACGAGAGAGGCATACGAGTTGATGGGGATTCCTGTCCAACCTTCGTTTTGCGGATGACATCGTTCTATTCTCGAGCAGTATCACTGAAGCAGAGACGATGCTGAAGGAACTAAACGAAATAGGGAAGAAGATCTTATTGCGAATAAATCGGAAGAAGACTCAGTTCATGAGGAACGCCATTGCGAAGATGCAGAAATGGAACTGGAAGGCACCCCGATTATGGAGACGTCTTCTTACGTGTATCTCGGACGTTCAATGACCATGGAGAACGACTTGAGGGGAGAACTTAACAGAAGAAGAAGAGCAGCCTGGGCCGCCTTCGGGCCTCTGAAGGAAGCCACGGACCAACTGACGGACCCAGAGCTTCGTGCCCACCTGTTCGACTCAATCGTTCTCCCGGCGCTCTGTTACGCAGCTGAAACTTCTGCCGACACTGTGCCACGTAGAAAGCTTTACGGGTCACCCACAGAGCGCTCGAGCGCAGTCTTCTGAAGATGACCCGACGCAAGCAACATCTAGTTGAACTTCGCAGTACGGATATGAGAAGACTGTCCCGTCTTGTGACCCAGCGGATTACGTTGCGAAAGCGAAACATTGATGGGCTGTTCACATCATAAGAAGAATAGACGACAAATGGACACTAAGAACATCTGAGTGGATTCCTCGCGAAGCCAAACGTCCTCGAGGAAGACCAACGACGAGATGGGCAGATGTTCGTGGAACGGATGAACCAGCTGAGAAATTAGCTGGATACGATTTTCGCACCTGGAACTCGTGGACGCAGCCACCGACGTCAACCAAGAAGATCGTGGATGTCTGAAGCGAGGGACAAGGATCGATGGAAACTTTTGTGCTGAGGCCCGCACGCCACTTAAAGACGGGCCATCTAAGTATTAGGTTGGAAACTAAGTTTTGCAACTGGTCTCATAACTTCCCTCTCATTCAACATGGCGCACTCAAATTTTGCCACTGCGTTGGTTATTACGTAAGCTACAAGCGCAGCTGCTGTCCTACCAAGTTCTGACGTCGCAGTGAGGGTTACGGTAAGTGCATGGTATGAAGGGGAAAAATTCAAAGTTTGACGGATTTGGCTGAAACTTGGCATAGGGGTGTTATCCGACATGCTGATCACGAAAATGATAGTGAAATTGCGTGATAAGGGCTTTTTGTAGGATTACTGTAGGTGTACAATATGGGGTTTCACCCTAAACAAGGAAAAAGGCGTTGATTCACCAAATGAATGTGATATTCGCATTGGGTAGGTCAAATAACCTTACTATGTAAAGTCTCGGCGGATTTTGAGCTTCAGACTCTTTAGTCATTGACGGTCGTCCCCAGCAGCTCTTGCGTACATCGACTCGTTCGACTTTATGACGACGCCAAATCTCGACATGCTTCCAGATTTTGTTTCTTTTTTAATAGTCCAAAGGAGTCAACCTCTAGCAATAATTTATAGACGAATCCGGATTACTGCGCATGGTCTAGGCTGCCAAAGGCTTCATTTTAACTCAAAACCCCAAAAATTCTCAAATTTCACTAGTTTTCGAAAAACGCCTGAAGCTTTTCTATTTCGTGTTCAAAATTTAGACAATTTGTGCACACTTGTAGCTCACATTGCCTTCTATATAATGCCAAAGTTTGAGTGCGCCATATCCAAAGGGAGTGAAGTTATGAAACCAGTTGCAAAACTTAGTTTCCAGCCTAATAAATACCCTATTTTCAGGTGTATAAGCCGCACCCTTTTTGCTCTAAACGCGAGCAGACCCAGGCGTGCCGCCGCGCGTATGCCTCGCAAAGCGATCAACTTATCACATACTGCTCTCACTTAACGCGCTCCATGATGACAGTCAGTCTTTTGGCGTGTTCGCTTTTAGAGCGAAAAGGGTGCGGCTTATACACCTGAAAATAGGGTAAGTAAGTAACCTTGTAGAAGTTGAAACAACTGCGGTTCAAGTCATGACGAGCCACCTTTCCCCTATTAACTCACTTATTAGGAGGAAAGTGAGTTTTGGGAATCTTACCTTGCCTGAGGACATTTCAGTGTCGGTATGAATCTTGGTTATAACTCACACTTTTAAATTTGTTTCACTTGCTGTCTACTACCAAAAGCGTTAATTTTGACTAACGATAAGGTGTGTGGGTTAGGTAGTAATTTTTACGAAACAGTTTTCTCTTGAACTTCTCCAAACATTATGTAAGGACTAATAAACTACCATCAGATGAATTCTCCTGGCACATACCATTCTGAGAAAATTTTAAAAGAGAAAGTACTTACCATTTTCGCAGTAATCGCCATAGAATCCATTTGAACACACGCAAATTCCAAGACTAGGCGTGCCTCCATTCAAACATTTCTGCAGAAAACATAGGAGAGTGCGAACGAGCAATTGGTAACCAAACTAACCCTGTCATTACAGTAATCTCCCGTGTGTATGTTGTCACACAAACATTCACCGTAAGTGTTTCTTTGTCCATTCACACATTGTGTATTCGCATCTGGACAGTGGTTAACAATTGCCTGTGGCCGTATTCATCAACATACAGAGGTAAGAAATATAGGGCATTCAAAAAATCGTGACGATGGCGCGAACGCGCGCGACACGCACGCACTTCTGGCAACCGCATTTCCTTCGCTTTTATTTGTACTCAAATGAATCTCCTGCTTACCTACGATAGTATCTCGATAAGCGTTGATATAATGCCTTTTTGCATGAAAATTTTATACATGTGAGCGCAAAGACGGCAGTCGGACCCGTCGTCACGACTTTATAAATGACCTATACATGCATTTGTTTACATGTCTTGTTCGTTTCCGCTGTATTACTAATTTCTTGATGTGTCTTTTTTTATGGAACGCCTTGAGCGTACAAATGAAATGAAATGAAATATACCTTGAGAGTGCGTACCCATATACACAGCGCACAAGATAAGTTACTTCAAGGATGACATACAAGGTGAATTTAACCTCGAAGTTCATTACTACAAGACACAAATTCAAGGTAAATTTTACTTTGTTTCGTTTTCTTCTGAATTTACTTTAGATTGTACCTTGAGCCATTCATTTATGTTATCTCAAGGTATCTATATTCCCTTGAGATACTTGGTGAGTACGGTCTAGTGGCTTTCTAGTATTGATCTATACCTCAAGGTATGATTTAACCTAGAAATCGAACATACCTTGCGCGTTGTGAATACGGATGTACACTTTCAAGATAGTTTTTTTACTTCAAGGTATGTTGATAAATACGGCCACTGGTTAGTACTCAGTGACGGGTAGGGGACTTTATGTCGCCGGAAGAGGTGGTCCCGCGCGGACATCAGCAACAGATACTACCTCTCATACAAGCAAAAGGTGTAGCTGTTGCATGTCCGCGCAAGACCTTCCCTTTCGGCGACATTATTCTACACTTAGTGACTTACCATTTTGCGGTTGCGTGTAGAAGAATGTCCTTTGGAAGTTCACGTTTTGGTCATCAGTGCCAAAAATTGTATATCTTTGATAGGTGTACGTCGGCTAAAACGTTTTTTGCAAAATCATAAAGATGACAGCAGCTCCAACTTACACTTAGAAAACCATCAGTGATAAACTGGTTAGCGCAACCGGTAGGATCCCTAAGGTTAATGCGCTGACTAATGTCCGTGTGGTCCTGCCATGGCTGTGAATAGTCTGCGCTATCAATGTTCAGCTGCTTCAACGTAACACCGTGATTCGCATTAAGTGAATTCGTCACTCGAGCAGTGACGAAGAGAGTTTTGTTGCTGCCTTTGCTGCCTTAATATAAAGTTCGCTAAAATCATAGCACATTTGTTACGAACATACCGAGAGACGAAAATGGTTGATTCTTTACAAAATCTATATCTTGTGCTGAAGAGAATCCGGGTATTACATGTATAGGAGATTCTGTTCGAGCCTAGATAAGTTTTAAGATTAATGAGGTTTTTTTCGTTTGTTTCAAAGTACGGAGGAATTCACATTAATTCTTTTTTCTAAGCTTTATTAAATGACCGGTTGACTGGTACTGATTTAACAGTCTACAATTTCATTGCAACTAATTACGATACTGTTTTGATAATTGTCTAGAAATTGTCAATTTTTCTAATAAAAGCATGAAATTATCCGCGATTTGCTTTGTTTTTTTTTCTAAGGAGGGCATAGCCATAGGAATGCTTTGCACCGATGAGATGTTTTAGCTGAATGTTCAAATTCAAAAACCAAGCAGAAAAGGTTTCAGGAATATCGAGTCAAGAAACCCTTGAAGAGAAGGAAGAAGAGGAAAGACGACATTCTCAGAAATTAATCTAGATTTCCATATTCTGCTCCTTTTTCAAAAAATTTTCAATTTAGAAGCAAATTTTGAACAGCCTTGATTTTGACATTCTACTTGTTGACGTATTATTCAACACCTCAAGATATTTTATACCTTCAGGAAGCGCAGTTCGGGTCAAAAGAAATTTAGAGTTTTCCCTCAAATTAAAGACACTAAATTCATTGCTGAAGTGCATGTTCACCTGAATAAAACAACTGCCAGAAGTGGTTTTGATAGTGACTGTCCATTTTCCTCCTACTGGTCCTTCTTGTTTCAATGCTAAAAAAGCTGTATAGGAAATATTTGGTTGATCATAGGGTAAAAAGCTTACGAAAGTCGATCACAAGAGCTGCTGTATCTTGTAACATTGCTAGTTGAGGGAATACCGGAACATTATTGCCTTAACACTATTAATATTCTTTGATAGGTGATTTTTTCTCAGACATTAACTAACCTTGTCCATCCGTAACGATAACCGCTCTTGATTTTGATACATCATTTCCGGTGATAAGCAAAATTACTCGAGATGCTGTGGATTCAATGAAGAAATTGGACGTTTGAGGAGAAGTGCAGTTCTAAAGCAAATCACTGATCTTTGAGAAAAAGCATCTGAACAAATAAAACCTTGAATCCATCGTCGTAAACAAGAGCATTTTCTTTGACTATTGATGTGAGCACTTTCAGAAACTGAAAATAATTGTAAAAACATTACATTGATGATTTTAAAAATTATGGGTGATACAAAAATTTCAATTCTATTTGGATGTAGTAGCTATTCAAATCAAAAGAAATCTAGAATTTTTGAAATTTCTCGCTCATCAGGCTAGTTTAAGATTTTCAATAAGTTTTCCGTCATTTCTCTCACCGTTCACATTGCCTGGCGAAAAATTGTCCTTCTATAGAAAAAAAAGAAAACTTACACTCGACGAGGCGCCCATTGTCAATGGCAAGAGGCGTCCACCAGTTGGACGAGCTATAGTCAAATAGAGAATTAGATCATCAAAAATTAAAAAAAAATAAAAATTAGCCTTACCGATCATGGCCACCTTGAAGTCAGTTGGTTGTTGAGGGTAATTCATTCGTTGCATAGAGAAAATATTCACCTAAAAATTTGGTCTCAAAAATTCATGATAGCTTGCTTATCATTTCTCGAAGCTGAAAAATGTACCAGTCTTATTAAGGCTCGATACAGGTGGCTTGTAAGCAAGCTGGATTCGTTTCTGGAGCAAAAAGCAAAAGGTATATCGTTTTTGAGGCCGAAAAACACAAAATTGCGAAGTTTTTTGGTCAACGTTTCGTTCTTTTACGTTTTGGGTTTAGGAATACGGGGACTTCGTGAAAATTCGCGAAAGTCAAGGGAGACTTTTTTCTGCATTTTCCAAGAGCCACCTCGTGCCGAGCCCTGATTCTTATGGAAACGATGAAAAGACTTTTATGTACATTTTTGTAGAGCTGGCTTCAACTTAGATCTACAGTATGGAGCGAATCATTGATCCCTCCTTCATTACTGTAGGATTACGGTAGGAACTTCGACAATGATTTTAGGCCTTTAGAGGCCATAATCTGCCTCGGAACAAAACTAAACAAGCCAAAAACTTTTATACTATAGTAGCGGAAGCCGCTTATTTCTTATATGAAATTTTCATTTACTATGACGCTTCTTTCCAAGGTTATCCTAGGTAAACCTTGATAGCTGAATTTCCAACGGTGTGATCACAATTGCAAAAATGTGATTGCACCGTCAAAAAAGCTAGAAACACTCGTAAAAAGTTATGCAATGCAGCGTGCGCGAAAACCCTAGTACACGATTTTTCAGATTTTTTGAAAAGAATTCTGTCAAACGGCATATTTCACAATGGATCCACATGCTAGAAGTTCATACCGTAATCCTACACTAACGAAGAGAGATTGAAGTTCTGCTCCATAGTACAAATCTAAGTTGAACCTCGCTCCACACAATGATGCCTCAAGCTCGGCGAAAGACGTGAAAGCAACGGAGTTATTAACGATCAAACAGTGTTCACATTTTTTGGGACACCCTGTGTATTCATTTTCAAAACTATTTCTTAACTTGTCCAATTCTCTCTCAGCCGTTTGCTTTTTCCCCTTCCTTCCAAGCAAGCTTGCTTACAATGCAGACAAAATTTGTTTCAAAGACTTTAAAGTGTTGATTTGACCATACCTGAGTGCCTAAATGTTGTCGTCTATTGTAAACAGGTTTAAATGTAGTGAAATTATGAGCGGTGAACAAGAAAATCACTGAGGGTGGCTGTATAGTGATTTTGTACGCCTAAAAAAATCTTCAGATAAAAAAATTGAATTTTTGCGAGGGCAACCTCTTCCAAAGCGTCAGCAGCTTTCGTCGACTCTGGATCAGAGTTTGTAAAGCTACTCATTGTACTGCTAAACACATTGATAAATTGATCAGTATTCGCTGTGCTTATCACATTGGTCACACCTGGAAGACAAGGTAAACTAATTTTTTGTTCATATTTCGAAATAAATGAGGGTCCACCTTTTTCATCAAAGGTCACCAAAGAATACTGCTTGGGAATGTCGTTGCTTTCCGTTTGGCTGATAAATGCTGGGATTATCTAAATGGGCTATGAATATGTTGGTGTCCTTGAAAATGACATAAGAAAAAGAAATGATTCCATGGATATAGGTTGAGGGACTGCGAAAACTTGAACAAAAATATTATTTATATTATTTATTAGAATAAATAATCATAACGACCTGCTTTCTATTCAACATTCTAACTATTCAATTCTCAAGCATGATTTTTACTTTTAAGGGTAGAAAAGACTTTTTTCACAAGATTCGACATTTAACAAATTAAAAAATTAAATTCTTTCAAATTAATACTTTGCAATCTTTTAAATCCTATGAAATGAACTCACACTCTGGAGGTATAAGCTCGGAAATACCATCGCCAAATTTCTTTCAATCACGAAAGTTATCTGCAACAAATTTTGGACCGATGATACAATAAATGACTCTAGGAGAACCTGTCGAAATTCGTGCTGTCTAACGTCATGTGTCTCCAAATAATTCCACTCTTGACAAGTTACTGTGAAAATAATTCTTGAAGCTTAGTACTGCGCTACTTAGTACTAGAAATATTATAGGAACATACTGTACTGGCAGAATTGTCCGTTATATCCCGCAGGGCATACGCATTTATAGTCTTTCGCCGAGCCGCCATTTTGACAAATAGGATTTTCACAATTTGCGCCAATGAACCCTGTTTGGCACAAGCATTGGCTACCTGCAAAAATTGGTTGATGGGGAGGGGGGGGGGGGGGAGGAGGAGGCGTGTTAATAAAAAGCCTACCATTAGTGGGTGAACCACCATTGAGGCATGCAGTGGCATCCAGATAACAGTAAGCACGCTGAGTTCGTTGCATTACCGTATCATTCGTTTGCAAGGTGACCTAAGAATATTGATTTATTGATTTACGTCCAAGCAGATGTTTAAAAAAAGGAAGAACTTCAAGAATAAAAACTAATTTTATTCTAATTACACAGTCAATATATTGAAATGGGTTCATCAAAGTGATCCGCTCTTTTTCGTTCAAAACATATTGAAAACTTACCGTAGCCAAAAAGTAACTATAAGGACTTGTACAAGTGAACGGTGTGCTGAAGAAGCTCTCGTAACGACATGAAGGAAGTCGACGCACGCTAGTAGCACTGAAAATATCTATATTATTGAACCTAAGTGCTAAATGTGCAGCAGAGTTTACTATTATATAAGAATACTTAATTCTGTATAATTATTGAAAGCGTAAGCTATTTTATTCATCGCAGTGGGTAACGGTTTTATTCTAATTGACAAATTTGGTATATAACCTTTGATTTGAAAGGGTTGGCTGCTGGAAGGCGGGGCTTTATGACCTAATTAAGGTCCCTTGCGCCCGCAACGCAGTCTGCGGCTCCCTGCGTACGTGCTCTCTAATCATTACCTAGCCTTAACTGAGTCACGAAGCCCCGCCTTTCAGCCAGCAAGCCAGTTGAATCAAAGGGTACACGGAGTACTCTAAACAAGGAAATCTCTAATTTTCGTTTCTTTCCAACCACTAAGAAATTACACCGGATATTTCCCGAACATCATCACTAGTGAGGGAAATCGCGTATGTTCAAAGGAAAATTCAGTCAAGAACCAAAGTCTCCAATCAAATTCTCGTTCTCCTTAAATTTGAAAAATTCTAATACTTGGGTAATTAAACCAATGGAGTCAAACTTGTGGCAAAAATCAGTCAAACGATGCTTTGCAGAGTTTGTTTCCTACTATTTCCTTTTCTCTATACCTTGCCGCTAAAATCAAATACAATCTAAAATTGAGCACTTGCGGAGCAAAAGATGGCACTGCTTCAAAAAGCTTAATTTTTTGTTATCAAGGAGGGGAATTCCAACACTGCTCCTTCCGCCATCGATATATTTTGATTTAAATTCACCACAAATTAATAGCAATTATAACTTACTTATACCCTACTGTTCCATCGCTATTCCATACGAGAATATTTGGTCGCACATCCGACTGCAGTTGTGAGCTTACGTGAACAACGGGATTGGCAGCAATTGCTGGAAAGAGTAATTTATCCAAAGTTTATAATTTAGTGATTTTTTTTAGAAACAACTTCAGTCCCTTTACATTTTGCGTTCAACAAAATAGTTTCTTTGCAAACGAACTATTTATTTTTCTTTACCGTATTTAAGAGTCGGTGAAGGGCTATCTTCAGATGGATTTGGCGTAAATCCGAGATATACAGCAAATTGAGTTTTTTCCACTATTCGCACGGAGCACGAGCCATTGCGGTTAATTGAAGAAGCATCTGACTGAACTTGAAGGATGTACCTAAACAGGATGATTAACTCATAGGGTAAGAGACTTTCTACTTTTGAAGCCCAAACTAGTAATAATAACCCATTGCGATTGTAGGCGTTCGGATATATCTGATAAATTCCAAAAAATGGCATTTTCACTGACGAATATAACTGCTGCACTCCCGGACCATTGTCACTGTCTATCACTCCAACAGTGAAATTTTCTACCTGGTCTGAAAGCAGAATTTTTAGCATTAAAGGGTTTAAGCAGCTTTTCTTGATCTCACCACTATTGATGAACGCATAAACTTGAGCAGATACATCATCTATGTAGAATTGTGTCTTTGCCAGCACAGAACAATCGACAAGTAGAGATTCTTGCAAAGTCTCCACATGATGGTGAGATGCACCATAGCCGGTGAAGAACTGGAAAGATACATTGCTGATAGCGGTATTAACATCTTCAGCGTTCATACTAGAAAGAGTTTAGCCGACAATTATTGGGGGTTTTTTGTACGTAAAGAGGATCACTACCCTATGCCGAATCGAATAATGATCGCATAATTTAATGCTTTGCTCTCTAAACGTACTACTTCGTCTACTCAATATTCTAACTTCAGCTGAATAGACTTGTTCAAGAGCGGTTTTCCAGTGAAAGTAGCACCAACAATCTGATATACGAGATAGAAAATCTCTCTTAGAAATCTCTGAAAGACAAGATTTGGAATGTTTTGCTGCAATTCAAGAAAAGATGCTTAAAAGACAAGAAACGAGGAGATTTACCCATGTCCCCACCTTAGAAATAATTTTTCTATTTAAGTTGCAAGCATTTATCTTGCATTCTCATTGCTAAAACGCGGAAGAAGGGGGGGGGGGGGACGAGGTAGGTGAGATAGGCTGAGGTATTAGTTCGGATATATACCAAATTACCACCAAAGCCTACCATTCGAGAATGATCTGTTACAGCAAATAACCCATCATGTTTCGTGACCTTGGGCACACGAACATACTACTTCTTTCTGTTTTTTATGCGCCTCAAAGCTTTTTAATAAAAATATCATTCTGCGCACGATAAACTATGATTATAAACATACCTTCAGCTACTCAACTCAACTGCTCCTATCTAATATATTCTTAACCTGATCACCACGAATATCACGCTGATGTACATTTGCTCATCTTTACGCTTATGTAAATTATTTTCACTCGCATATAACAATGAGAACAGCCGCAAAACAAGCTGGACAAAAAAACGCTCAAACTACACGAACTCTTAGGTTGGCTAAAAAATAAGTTCGGTCGTATTTAGCGGTTTGTAGAATGGTCACAAATCAGTTTTTGTGTGTATATACGGTTCCGTTGGAAAAAGCAAATCAAGAGAATCGGAAGATCTGCTCTGTTCTCTCAGAATTAATTTTTCTGATAATGAAATGATGATTGAAAGAAAATTGTTCCGATTTTTTCCTCGAAATTTCGAAAAAACACGTTCCAAAAACGAACTGGTCAGGTGTAAAGTGTAGATTCGCTACCGACACAGCAAATTTTTGAATTTCCAAACATTTGCATGAGCATAGATGGCCGAATTCGAGTTATCTGGAATGCTCAAAATTTGACCTTCGAGCGCAAATACCTGGAAATTTTCACGATTTTGACTACAGAAATTCAGAAACAGCAGTTCACAATCTCTATTGCGGTTCGCCACCTAGCCAATGTACCCAGCCACCAAATTACTCGCCTGTGTACTCACTGCAGGCTGAGAACGAACCTTAGAAAGTCAAAAAAGCGATTTTTTAGAAGTCTGACCATATAAGGTTATAGCTGTCTTTTTTGCTAACACAAAATCTTGACTATTCAATATTTAAGGGTAGAGGCTTGAGGCTATCTTCTCACGAAAGAATCTTAGCTGAATAGCTGTTGTGAAGCTTTGAATTTGCATGTCAAAAAGAGCTTATTTATTAGCCAACCTAATACTTCCAGACTGTTTTAGCACTGTGACAGAGTGAAGGGGATGGAGTATCACCTGTCTCCGGCCCTAGCTGAGAAAGTCTAGAAGTCTTAGTCCCAAGTTTGGCCCTCACAAAACGCTTATTCAAACCTATTACCGTTTGACACACACCATACAAAAACTGAGGGCAAGACAATAACAAAATGACAGAGAAATAAAAATTGGATATAACCATTTCTGTGACCGAGTGGGAAATCAGAGCAATGATATGGTTTTAGTGTTACTTGCTCGCACTCGGACGATTCACGGAAATTTTGCAGAACAAGCAAAATTTGCAGCGGTTCCTCAAGAACCTTTTACTTACTATTACAAAAGCGGAAACATTGAGAATGGGAACTTCCACAGGATTTTTAAGTCAGAGTGGTTGAAAGCGGAAACTTTCGCAGGGCTTTTTATAAATTGCTGCTAAACTTGCGAAGAATGCCAGCGGTTCCGCAGCAATTTGACCAGCAGCACCTCCGCAGGTTTTTGAATCTGTCTTACGATTTTGCCTCGCCAACAACTAGAGTACATTATAGAACATGTAAATCGTAATGCAGAGGGCAGTAAGTGAGTATCACAGTCAATAGAGCAAGGTTTGAATCTCGCTCAGGGGTTCTCTTTTGCTGCCTGGTTTGCATTCTTTGAAACTTTCGCAGCACATTCAAGAACTTCCGCATGTGACCCGGTGGACTTCCTCAAACTTCTGCGGAAATTCCGGGCAGTTGTCTGAGATCTCATGATTTTAGCGAACCCAAAGAGATCTCCTCACCTCTGTTATGATATCCCTCGGATATGTATTTTCATACGTTTGGCACAGATTCAGAATTGTTCCGCCAGTCTGCAGAGCTATTTGGGTATAGACGGAAGCATTTCCATACGACATACACATGCTGCTAGTTTGAAATGGTGGTGTTATGATCACATTGATCTGCAGCTGCCGCTCGATGGCTGCGAGACTGGAATAGACAATAATTTTCTGAAATTTCCTAAAGTGGCATGAATACTCACACAATGTTCGGAATGCTAGCGTCACTTGTGGAGACTGAAGGAGAAGCATCGGTGAAGAGAAATATTGAAGATTTATCGTATGATGTGCTATGTATGGTCTTCCAAAGTGCGTCCAGCGAGGGTTGCGTAACCGATTGAGAATATCTGTTATTTGACAATTTATAAGTAGCTATCACGATCACAATCTACATAAAGATCGATTCATACAAGTATTCTAGACTTACTGATAACCAATCTCTGCGGAAAGCGTTGCATTCAAAAAAGATGCGTCAGATGAATATGGGGTGACGATAACAAACGGACGCGGTTGATCTAATTATTGAAAAAAACAAGTACTTTTTAGCTTTTCTAAAAGTGCAGAATCCTGTTCTGTAATATGTTACTTTGTACTGTGATAGTGTTGAACGTAGAAACAATGTATTCATCGAATGCATCCGCCTGTCCCATATACTTCAAAAGAGCATTTAGTCCTGAGTTGATGCGACCATTTAGCTGAAAGGGAAGTGGTCACATACCAAAGTGTAGCAAAGCAAAGAAATGGGTTTAGGTTCTCCAGTTTAGAGTCACTCTATTTTGACATTGTATACGCGTTCTAGAAGTGAAAGAAGAAAATTTGAAGACTCGGTTTACGGGTCCCGCACCGCAGTATCTTGGAAAAATAGTGATTTTCTATCCGAATTTCGCTTGTTCTAATATACTTGAAGAGTGAGAAAAACTGCACTTTCAGCCTTCAAAATAGACATCGATATCGGTATATTATGGCTAGACAAACTATCAGAGAAAAGCATTTGAACACACAGAATTTGTAAGAATTCAATAGGTTAGCTCTGAAAAGTACAACAAAATTTGGAATAAATTTTTTTCAATATTTTTACCCTTTATTTCAAATGGCTTGGCGGCTTATTAAGGGTAGAGGAACGAACACCTCAATTAGGCACCGCCTTTGCGCGCTGCTGATCCTTTTTACTGTTATGCATCGTGCTAGGACCAGTAGTCCGCTGAGGCGGTGCCCGATTGAGGTGTTCGTTCCTCCACCCCTTTATTAAGGCTAGGTAATAATCAGAGAGCACGCGCGTGAGAGAGACGCAGACAGCGTCGCGGGCGCGGGCGGCCTCAATTAAGTCATAAAGCCCTGCCTTCCAGACGCCAAGTCAGTTGAATCATAATTTACGACCAAACTTTTTGGTTGCTAAAAGTTCGCGTGATCGGATTGTTTTACGACAAGTTACGATGAGTTTATATGATTTTCGTGTTTTTCTTGTTTGGATTTGCTTCGTATAAGATCTCTAACATATATAGTAAAAGACAAATTTGTTATATCTCACATTTAAAACGAATTTTTTACCTTTTTGGTGCAAGAAAACGAATCATCCTAAAGCAATCAATGTGTGCTCTACTAGATTCGCAAACATTTGACATCTGTATATCCAATAAAAACCAGAAATTCGAAATTCCTTGGGTTCTGCCAGATACCAAGTCTCACCTGAGCCTGTGAGAAGCTGCTTTGTATGATTACAGCTAATGAACGTTTAGTAGAGCCGAATACATTTGGAGAGGGTGAATTGCATGATACTAAATAGGTTTCAACCTTTTAAATATACAAATTTTTAAGAATTTTTACAACTCACAAATATCGCAGTGATCTCCACCGTAACCAACCGGGCATTGACACAACGGCCTACCGTTACCCGGGAATTTTTCCACCACTCCTCCATTTTGACAAACGGGGATGGCACAGTTTGGTCCTGTGAACTGACTGGTACAGCGACACGAGTTAGTACCAGCTCTACTACCTCCATTCATGCATGTGAACGGAACAGGAGGAGGATGATCTGAAAGCGAAGTTTCGAAAAACTACAGTTTATCGTATAGCTTCATCTCCCTCTATGATTGTCAAGATACAGATTTGGAAAAATTTCGGATAAATTTTGATCTTTTCTCCAGTTTGTCAAGCCTTTCATGTAGCGATTTCCAGATATGCCCAGAAATCTTAAAAACGAAGGCTCTTGCGACTGAAAAGCAAAATCCATGCAGCTTTTCAATTTATCGGGATTTTTTCCAGCAAATTAAACATTGTTATTTTTTCGCACGTTGAGATACATACTTCTATATTTTTACAGATAATCTGCATTTCATTTTGTATCTATGTAACAAAAACTACTAGTCATGCACTTCTTGTATAAACTGATCGCTTATCTGATACGGTCCAACAAAAAAAAGCAGATTTCCAAAAAACATTCGAAGTATAAATATCATACCTGGCTGAGCGCAGAAACCTGGTATCAGACGAGTTAATGTTGTTGTACCATTTGATATAGTCAATTCTTGTCTGTAAATGATTACTGTTACAAAAAAAGATTCGTTTATCTGGGGCCTCAAAATTTGGGAGTTTTGGATTTTCGTCAAATCTTCAAGAAATATGCCCTTTGGTTCAACAGGATTAGCGCCTGGAAGGCTGGGCTTCGTGACCTAGTCAAAGTTAGAGAATGGTCAGAGAGCAAGCGCACGAGAGGGAACGCAGATTGCGTTGCGGGCGCGCGCGGCCTTAATTAGGTCATAAAGCCCAGCCTTCCAGCAGCCAATCCAGTTGAATCAAAGACTATTGGGCATGTTGTCGCCTCTTTGGCGCGAAAGAGACATTTTTTGTGGTTACGATGGGTCAAGGTATGGGTCAAAGTCGCAGATTTGATTGATATTTTGTCTATAGGGACTGCTTGATCAAATATTGCATCATTTCCGCACGGCAGCTACATTTTCCAGGGTTAAAAATTTTTTCTAAAAAGATGTGGGAGCGTGTGTTTAAGAATTCTCTCAAAACTCAGTTGAGCGGTTTTCTTAGCTTGCACATTACAATATAATTTACAAGATCTTTTCGACTATCGATATTAATCGTAATCAACATAAAAAATGGAAAACTTTCCGTCTACTTCTTCGTCTACACCCACCGTAATCCTGGGAAATGGATACTAGATCAATACGGTATTCGCGACCAGCGCGCGTCCGTACAGACAAAATTTGACCAGAATCCATGCCTTTCAAATTCTGAGGACCAAACAGCCAAATAAAGTCAAAATTTCTTATCTTATGACTGTATCAAACTTACACAAAAGGTCCAGGCACGCAACTACTTTGTATAGCTGGGAATATGTATGGGTACGTGCATTCAGCACTCCTAGTCAAATTTCCATTGACTGCTTGTGTCAAAAAATTGCCTTTTACATCGTAGAAAGATAAGGATATCGACGACGGAGATGCAATTCCACCAAAGTAGGCTGTTGTATATAGGCTCAGCTCTGCAATGGAGAATTATCGTTTGTCCTATCCCTTCTTGTCGAAATAGTGGAGGTTTTTGAATCTTAACTTACCAGAAATGCTGACAGCGCTACCAACATCCACTGTAGGATCGGAGCTACTTGCCAAAAAGGAGGTGTTCGGTGAATTGATCCAGATTCGAACATTTGTTTTCGATGGCTTATTTGATGATATTGTTATGTTTTTCGTTACATCAGCACTGGTCCGAATGAGCTAAAATAGGATTTATATGACTACGATATGGTTTTTTAGCGAGTTCTTCGATTTTTTGAAGCAGATTTTTTTGACGAGAATGGAAAATTTCCACTGTAAAGTTAGGAGTGTCGTCTAAATCTCGAGCTTATTTTTGATTTTTTAATCTTTTTAACAGATGCATACTCGGAAACAACTAACAGCTACAACTGCATAGAAATGGCGCCGCTCCTCCTTCCCCAAGGCCCCTTCCCCAACACGAAGATTTCATTTATTTATTAATATATTTCTATTAATTTCATACGCACATAGGCGGTCAAAAATCCAACAAGAACCGCATGATACGAGGTATAAATGAAAATATAAAGATAGTGAAGTGAAATTGTTAAATTTTTTTAAATGTGCGAAATTTCAAAAGTAGTTGACATGAATTATAAAATTGTGTGAGTAACTTGTGCAGAAGTGTAAGGAATTAGACTACTTTTGCATATTAAATAGGAATTCAAGTATAAATAAATAATAATAGAACACAAAAGAAGTTCAAATTGGTACTGTAAAAAAATCTCGGAAACGTACAAAGCTTTATTCTGAAAAAAAAATCCCAAATTCTCAGATATTTTTTCCAAAAGCCCGGTTAACGCCACGCCCATTCATTCAAAAAGTTCTGTTTTTACACCCCCCCCTCCACTCCACGACATAAGAAAATTCCTCCGACCGCTTCTGAAAATGGGGATATGTATTCTTTCAAAGAACTAATTGAAATTGCTGAAATAGCTCAGTTTGTTAATTTTTCTCGATCTACACAAAAATCTCATTTACAATATAAGGCAAAATTCCTTTCAGTATTCCTTTTCCGAACCCAGCGGTCGTGATTAGGAAATAGTTGAATCTCACATTACCTTGAAATATTTGCCTTGCGCTGCCGGGTCTGGCATCGTTTTACCGTTCTGACCAAGATACGAAGGGACTGAAATTTGAACGTAAAAATTGCACTCCAAACTCTGAAAAAGCAGACCTGTCGAATTTTCGCTCGTGATAAGTATGTAGACAACTTGTGTAGGATAATCAGCTTTAATGCTAATTTCAATATTATTCAAGCTGGGGTTGACATCATAAACAGAGGCCATAGTTTCCATTTGGAAGTAATTTGGCAATAGTTGGTCAATTACCTGCATAGGAAAATCATTTTAGACAATCAAATGATGGTAAAGCTGGGAAAAACGTTGATTCTTCTCGCTTCAAATCCTCCAAATTTTATGGACCCACATTTGCTATATTCGACTTTTCAACGACAATCAAATCCCCCTGTGTGGCTTTAACAACTCGACGAAATACATCATAATAGTTACCGGAGTAGTCCATAGGAGTTGCGTCAGTCTTGGACAATATAACAACCAACTAAAAAAATAGATCTAGAATCTAATTTTCTCTACTAAATTTTTTTGAAACCTTGTTTCTCCAAGCCAACATTCGCTGAATAGTTTGCAGCTCAATAGTGTTTGATGATAGCTTTGGGTCATATGCAATATCGCTAGAATCCGGTGAATCGGCAAACACGTACACATTCGAAGCCGGATGCATCAGCGAAAAGCTGAAAGAAGAATGTAAATTGCACTGTCAAGAAAATATTTCCTGTCAGTTTGTATGTGCAAAAAAAAAGAATAAGCGTTGTTAAAAAATTTGTTTTTCTAGGGTTATGATCTTCTCTCGAAGACATGCGATTTATCCACCTGCGCTAAAAGGAGAAAAGGTTTCCTCTTGTTTGAAACGAAATTATCCTTTCCTTCCCCCCAATATGATCGTCCCCACTTGCATACTGATTTTGATATTTCTTGGGAATCGGGACGCGTACAGAGTATAGTTCAAAAGCCCATTTTTGGGTATGTGTCATATAGTTGGGTATGGGAGGGAGATCCACCATTGCCATGGGAGGAAATTGCCATTTTTACCTATCCTATCCTAATTCTAGTCATGAAAAAAGCACGTCAAGCGTGATGAAAAACTTTGCATTTTTTCATGTAAAAGTGAATGAGAGTGATTGGCAAGATTTCTATGTAGTAGGTATATTACAGAGACATAAATTGATTTTGTATGACAATTTAACATCGAGAATGAGGATAGAACGCTAACACTGTAAATTTTTTTCATGGAGACAGAGGACCATTGATATATTGAATACCACTAACATAAGTGATAGCTGGAATTTGAGCCCAAGAAAACATAACCAAAAAGCAATGAAGCAGACCGTGTCTCAGCACAAGCTTGAGAGACTTCAAACTTTTACAACGAAACAAATTCTGTTTATCAAAAAGAAGAATTCTATTTTGAGATTTAGCAGTTTTAAAATAGGAATGTCTTATAAAAGTTCGATTGCCAAGCTCGTGGCAAACTCTGGCTATGACTTTTGAATGATTATATATGACTGGCTAATGTCCGATTCGTTGCTACATCCCCCACAAATAATGAAGTTTATCAAAATCTCAGTTGGTTGTATGATTTTCGGTTGCATTGTGAATAAAAATAATAAATTAAAGAAGTTACGCACTGTGACTGTGCATTATTTATAGCTGCGATAGTAGGTTGGTCCCCATCTCCATCCGAAATGACTATACCGCGTAGATAATCCAAGAAAGCATCCAATGTTGTAAATACTTGATTATCCATGTAATAGCTACTTCCTGAAAAAAAAAACAGAGCTCAAGTGAAACTTGCAGAAATTTGACTTGATTATTTTCCTACTGTAAGTCAAGTATGTTGTGATAATATAGTTATCAATCAGTCCTGGTGCGGCGGTGTTGATATCGTTGATCCAGATGGGCATCTACAATTAAAATTTATCTCATTTTTTTCGAGATACCAGAGTTTTTTCCCAAACCTGTCCAATCAAAAAATTAAGATCCAGTGCCATGCTTGCGTTTAAATTCAACACAAGTATGAATGACTGTGTGCTGGTATTCATGCTTGCTTGCACGGCGGGGAGACAACCTCCTGAGTGCGAAAAAATTTATGAATCAGAATTTTTCTGAACCGAATATAAAGGGGTGGGGGAACGAAAGCCGCCAGGTCCAGCCGCCTCCGCGGACTGCTGGTCCTGGAACGACATGCAACAACGCTGCGAAAGGACCAGCTGGCCGCGAAAGGCGGCTGGACCTGGCGGCTTTCGTTCCCCCACCCAATATAAAGTTAATCTAGAAAGCGTGAAACTCACTTGGCTCACAATTCAGGGCATAGGCACCGGGTGGGCAAGCGCAGCGATTTTTATCAAGGATACCATAATGAAGACACCTTAATGTACGAAATGATTTTCACTTTGATCTACTTTTCTTTCCATTTTTTTTCAAATCTGTGCTTTATATCCCGCATCCAGCTGTTTACGACAATATATCTGATAGTCATTTGTGACTCAATATGTGAGCCTGCACAGTGCGCGCGTCAACTGACGCCACCATTTTGGTAATTGACCAGTAAAAGCTTTTCTACTAGAACAAACTAGGAATTGTATACTACTACATCAACTCATCCAGTCAAGCGAAAATACAAAGGGAAACGACTAAAAATTTCGAACAGAACCTAATCAAGAAAGTCGTGAGGTAGCGCGCGTCTTGTGCAATACCATATCAAGCTACAAATTAGACGACGGTCAGCTGTTGACCTTCGAACTCTCCGATATAACCATGCTCAAATATGGTATTCCACTCTTCACTAAGTAATTTGAAAAAATTAAATTATCGTATGGAATAACTTTGGTGACCAATGTAAGCTTCAAAACATTTGGAAGAGACAAGCATGGCTACTATTCGAAAGCTCCACCTAAACTTTACTACTTGAAGAAGGTTGAGAAAACTAAAATTTCTCAACCTAAGCAATTCATTGCTCATCTTACGTGATAGTTTCACATTGTTGTCCCGTAACAAATGCTGGGCACACACAAGTATTATTCGGTAACTGAACACCGCCATTGTAGCAAGTGAAGTTAGACGTCACATCTTCGTCTTCGAGCAGGGGTAAAGGAGGAAGTGCATCTGAAATAATTGCTTTCAAATCAAATTTTTTGCTACTGCTATCGTCGAAAGCCGTCGATTTCATGTTCACAACAAAGTCCGCAGATCTAGTTTTTACTGCGTATATTCAGCTGCTAATAATATCGACCTTTACTAGTTACCCAAAATTCTATTTCTTAGAAGGGATGTAGGCATATTCGTTGAATGTTTGCTTGTTTATGCGTTGATATCAAGTTACGGTACTGACTAATTCACTATCATTTTCGATAAGTCAAAGTGTGGACTTCTCCCAGACTCAATAGTTTGAAGAAACAGCGCTTCTTGCGATCGTTTTCCCAGTTCTTTTTTTCTCGAAGATCCAAGGTGTTGGAAGCTACTGAAGAGCATTACAAAGCCTAATTCACCGGCTAAATTAGTGAATAGCTTGGAGTTATATATGTATTTCACATGTATTTCAACTCAAAAAACTTCATAAAGTTCTAAGGTCGAACTAAGAGAACAGGCTTTGCGACGCAAACAGCATTTATCAAGAATTTGGATACGACGTTACGGAAAGGATTAAATTGATATCGCAGCTCATGCAAAATAATCTTTATTCTGTAGATAACGCGAGCGAAAATTGGGAAATGCAGCGCAGGTAGAGAGGTTCCAGTCGCTTTTCTGAATATTCGTATAGGCATTCAGTCTGAGTTAGATTATGGTTTGATATATTTCCACAAGTGAAAGAAAGCGCGATAAAACTGGAAATTTTGAGCTGTCGTAGAAAAATGATCTTTTTTCTGAACTGCAGTAGAATAATGCAGGGACTTTACATAATACGTTTGAAACTCAAAGTCAAGTGTAACTAACCAATTTGACTCAGGTAGTATAGCTTCACTTTTCCGCTTTGGGTAATTTGATCTATGATCTGTTGTCTATCCAATGCTGTAGTTGTCGTTAAAAATCCATGAAAAATTGCTGTTGGTTTGCCAGCATCGATGCCATGAATTCTAAAGTAATGTAAATACAGAGGCACTCTATTTCAAAGAGAATTTCTACTTACTCGTAATTATTCACATAGAAGTCGGAAAGATCTTCGGCGAGGCTACCAGACAGCTGTAAACGTATGAAGTCAGAGTGTGAAGTAAAACTTGGGTTTTTTTCGAATTACCTCTTGAAAGAGCTGTTGGTTGGCTTCATGATTTGCGGGTAGGTTTCCAGGTCCAGATGACACAACCGAATAGAGCAAATTGGAGAAATGGCCCTTCAGTTCATAGTACTCGGCGGCACCTTAATGAAATTCAGTAAAGGAGATGAAGGAAGTTGAGCTAAAAGCTAGTTAGAATAATCACTTGTAAAATTTTCTATCCTTATGTCTATAATTTCAAATTTTCACCTCTAGACCCCTTACCTGAAATGACGAGGGTCAATACCCCGATGAAGGAAAGAGACAGGCGCATGCTACTGCTTTCCGTAAAATGCACCCTATCAGTAGCCATTATCGCAACTTTATTATCTCTTCTAGCTAAGCGGTTCAAGTCTCCGAAGATTATAAAGCGTGTTCCCAGCAGAATTTGCGGCAAGAAAACAAAAATTTGCAACTCAATAAAATTTCAGTTTTCGAGAAAAAAGTTATTTTGCACAAAATCAATCGAAAGTAGACGAACACTGGTAATTTTGCAAGTTGTGTAGATTATGGTTATACTCATGCTCAGCGCTTACTGAGAACTTTTCAAAAACAATAAGAGTTTCAGCCTCCTTGACTGCTAAGTGGTTCAAAATTTCAAATTCATTTGTAATTTTACTATTCAAAAATTTATAAGATCCATTAACCTTTAACAATTGCTGTGAAAAATGCTAAGGCAGTGAAGAGGAGTTGAAAGCTAAGTTAAAACTGTTTCTTCTATTTTCGATAGTAAGTGTTCCTCAGGTACTGGTCAAAAAGCAGTTTTTTCGTTTTTATTTTTTCAGAGGCTCATTGTATCGCTACCAATTATAGCGTCAGTTCTTCCAATACAATTCAGATAATACACATTTTCCAGCAAATACAGCATAAAGAATCAAAAATTGTCAGCAACAAGGAAGATGTGAAAAAAATATTCTTTATAGAACGAGTGTGTGCATTTTTCAAGAGCAATCGTTCAAAGTGAAGGTTGGTTTTGCAATACGGATTTTCTTCTGAGCTTCTGTTTCAGTAGAGCAAAGATCATTGTAGGCTCAAGTTGCGCAAATTTCAATGTTTTCCGGCAATAAAAAATCTCGTTCCTTGATGTTTTTTTCTGGAATTTTGCTTGGAGCGCGAATGTTGCATTTTGAATGTTAATCACAAGAAGTATCTTTCTCATAATGCTATTTGGTTAAATAGTTCGCCTTATTCTTCTATCTCTGAACCATGAAACATGCAAAAATAACATTCTCGTTACATCAGAGCAGGATTGCGTAACTTCCCTCTGATCTTGTTCTTCTTATGCGATTCCCGTCTTGATCGCGTCATTTCCTAATCTGCATAATTAAAGCCATAGCTGGTTGTGGCAAAACCAGACTTTTCAAACGCTGCAATACATCAACACACTGTCGCCAGTCTAAGATCAAACGTACATGTCATTCAATATTGTGCTGTTAGTCGCTGTTACTATAATCGCAATCATCTATGCTGCTCCCACCACGAATTCCTACTATTGGAGTAGGTTCTTCATTAATTTGTGTCGAGTCTATTTTTAGACCTCCAGAAAATCGAAGCAAGCATGTTGCAAATATGTGGTCTTCCGAAATTGTTTGAGGAGTTATGTATCCTTTGCAGAGCGAAAAAAAATCCCCTCGTTCAAAATTTTCAAAGATTTTTGGAAGTCGAGCATGACTCAAAGTAAACGGAGTCAATCTTGCAAAGAGCTCGTAATCCTTATTTCTGCAATTGCAGCACAAAAATGATGTAAAAATTAAAATTTTTCCAATCTTCTTTTTTTTCGAAAGTAGTTTTGGTCTTTGAGTTTCACTGATAAGGAATACTTTTACAGAATTTATTCACTTCAAGTCTTCTTTAGTGATATATCAACCTATTGGTGACTTTATCACTTTCCAGACGACACAAAGATGACTTTTGTTGGTGCCTAATCTGCGTTTCTAAACCAATACTATAGCTTTCGCACTCTTGAGAGAAGAAATGCTCAGTGTAAAATTGATGAAATGAAGTGTATGCGTTCCTGATTCTCTTCATAATCATTTTCCAGAAAATCGCGAACTGAAATGCGAATATTACGGTGGCAACAACACTAGATGTGTATTGAAGGACCCGGATTTTGTTGACGAACAGAATCCCGGCTGTTTCGAGGAGCTCGATAAGGTAAACATACAGGGTGCCCCAAAAAATTTTAACATTGTTTAATCGTTAATAACTCCGTTGCTTTCATGTCTTTCGCCATGCTTGAGGCACTATTCTGTAGAGCGAGGTTTAGTTAGATTTAAGGTATGGAGCAGAACTCCGATCTCCCTTCGTTAGTGTAGGATTACGGTATGAACTTCTAGCATGTGGATCCATTTTGAAATATGCCATTTAACAGAATCTTTTTTTCAAAGAATCTGAAAAATCGTGTACTAGTGTTTTCGCGCACGCTGATCCCACTGCACAAGTTTTTACGAGTGTCTTTAGCTTTTTTGACGGTGTAATCACATCTTTGACAAATGTGATTACACCGTTGGAAATTCAACTATCAAGGTTTAACTGGGATAACCTTGGAAAGAAGCGTCACAGTAAAGTGAAAATTTCATATTCGAAATAAGCGGCTTCCGCTACTATAGTATGAGTTTTTGGCTTGTTTGGTTTTGTTCCGAGGCAGATTATGGCCTCTAAAGACCTAAAATCCTTGTCGAAGTTCCTACCGTAATCCTGCAGTAATGAAGATGAACCTCGCTCTGTAGGATGAAGCCTTAACACATTCATGACAAGGCCGATTTTTCGATGACTGCCATTTCGAACCAGAGCATATTTCGCAATAATGAGTTTGCGTAATATTTTCTGGTCACTGGTGGGTTCTGTGGCCTTGAGTGTTAACTTTTGGAAGATATTCCGAGTGGTGCACATGGATGTATACTGGACTTGTCCAAAAGTTTCATCGTAAACTAGCAAAATCAAAAACTTCAAAAAGCATACGACCCACCGGTGGGTCGTATTGTCGTGAACGTGTTAAGCTCGGCGACAGACATGAAAGCGCAAGAGTTATTAACAATCAAACAGTGGTAACATTTTTTGGACAGTATAATCCAGTTACCGTAGAACTGACACGATATTTTTGCCCCAGGCTAACATCACTCGCGTCTACTGTGGCTTAAACTGTGAAGAATCTGAGGAGACAACTATTGTTACGAAAAAACCACAGTGGAGTCATCAGTGTTCAATGTTCTATACGTACAATTTGGAGAGGAGAAGGAAGGACTGGTCAAAGAAATTTAATTATATCGTCGTCTTTAAAACCGAATTTATCTATATTTTCTATTCAGGTACCTATGGAGAAGTGAGGCATGCATTAATTCTACTATCACTTTTGAAGTGTCCTGCGGCACACATCGCGATCCACGTGTGTTTTATTTTCGTAACGAAAATCTCTTCGAAGTTGAGGACGCAGAATAAAATGCAGTGCACAATGTTATATTTAAGATCTATTGTAGTATGCATGTAAATACTCTGAGTCAAATTATGATAAATCGCTTTAAAATTTCTTGAAGACTGCTTTGTACAAAACGCAGAAAACAGGGGCGTGAAGGGGGAGGGGAAAGAATGGTCGCGAAATTGTTGAAGGTTACTTACATGAGTTATAAATATGTGCAAGTGACTTGTTCATACTTGCAAATAATCAGAATAATTTTTTTAAATAAAAAATTTAGCCTTATAGAGGAAAATTTTCGAAGGCGTCACGCCTCTCTGAGATTTTGGGATCATGGACCCGCCAAGAAAAATTTGCGAAGCATACCAAAGATTTCATCGGATTGCCTGGCTAGCGCCACGCCCCTTCATCAGAAATTTTTTTGTCCCACCCCCCTCCCCGAATAAATCCTGGGCACGCCACTGCCAGAAGGAGATAAAGGTTAGACAGCTCAAAGCATATAAGAATAACTGCCCGGTACAGAATTTTTCAAGCAGTGTGTGTTAAAAAATTACGTTGGCGAATTCAAATTTGAAATTTTCTTTTGGTTTAAATAAATCTTATGAAAGTTTGGTATTGTGGAAAAAATCTAGAAAATTGTTCCCTCTTTTATTTCGCATCATGCGGCAGCTCGCGGAATCAAGCGTTCAACAAGTTTCTGGAGGGCTAAGAGCGATATTCTCTTGAGCTTCATTGAGCTCCTGTCTGAAGGAGCTGAGGCTGCGCTCTAACAGTTTTTGAGAAGATTGAGGACATATGTAATTCTCGGAATAGTACTGATAATTCTCGGACCAAGATTGGCAGAACCGATGCTGATGATGCTTGTTCAATTGTAAAGATACGCTCAGAACAAACTATTGGCGATTTTGTAGTCACGAATACGTCGCTTTGCCCACTGAAATCACTTGCGACGAAATGATAACGATACTATGGCTGCATGGTTTTAGACTGTTTGATTATGACCATACGTATTCTGATTTCAAGCTCTTTAGTCACATCATGTTTCATAATCAGTGGCCGTACTCATCAACGAACCCAGTGGGAACCGCTACCAAATGGGTAAGCGAAAACAGTGCCACGGGTTGGATCGATTATCATAAAAAGCACTACCGGCTTTGCGAACCCACTAGCTTCGTGGATACCGATTTTGTGGGTTAAGCTACCCAATTGGTAGCAATATCCACTGGGTTCGCTGATGAATACCCCCTTTGATGAGACTCTCAGCACCGAATTTACGCTACAGTGCTCCTAGTAACAGTTGAAACTAACAAGAAGCACGGCATGTTAATCTTAATATACTTTGTGGAACATCGACTCAAAAACAAAGGGCTATACTAATGAGTGCACTGCACAACGATTGGCGATACGAGTTTATTTACACGTACGAGAATAATTCTACTTTGGTATATTAGGTAAAATAATCACTTTTTCATTTGTGGCGACTTTTTCGCACGACGAAGGACACGAAGTGAGCCTCTACCGCCTGATGGTTTTGGTATATTTACATAAGTTGACGTCACACTCCTTTTTTCTCCAACGGCAACTGGTGGGCCGCTAGCCACAGAAGCGCGTCCTATAGACTCGCCCGATGAGAGTTTTGGCTTTGGCATTGCTGCTAATGGCCCAGTTTCGTACGGGCTAGGAGCTACTGAGGAGCCAAAGCTCAATGCTCTACCTTGTAGTGGAACCGTTGTCTTCTTGCTTTTATTAGGTTTGTCAGTATTCGATTTCTGTGCACCTTCGGCGGACTCTTTAGATCCAGATTTGCTTTCGGTAGACTCCTTAGATCCAGATTTATTGACGTTCTCTTCATTTTTCAAAGCAGGAGGTTGAGATTGACGAGGATTTTCGACAGATTTGCGAGGAGGAACACGGCCACGAAGTGACTCTCCCCCTTTCGGGCTGCTAGGCGCAATTGCCGATTTAAGTGACTCCACAATTGACCACAAAGCTGCCGGAGTTGACTTTGCTGTAATTACATCCTTCTCTTCGATGGATGCTGGCCGGATCGTTGGCTTCGAAGAAGTTACCTGGAATAAGAGCTTTTGTGCTTTATGAAGTGTAATCACCAATCATTTGCGTGATTGATACATGAGCTGAGAGATGGGATTTTTGCAGAACGAGTGATTGGTTCTTAGGAAAGCCAAGAGAAGTGCGCAACATTGCCCAACCATTTGGATTTGGAGAAGTGTGACGACATGGCCTGGGTTAATGCGAAAATGAAAAGGACCCAGCAGTGCTCATTCATTACATGGATAGGCCAAGATAAGCATGGACGTCATTTGTTGCTGAAATTTTGTACGTGTAACCGTTTCATGCTTATAACGCTCTCATACTCTTAGGGGTCCGAAATGTTTCAAAAAATATCGAAAGCTACGTTTCCAACTTACCGTTACCATCAACAAATTCTTAATATTGTCGTTCAGACATGAAGGTTCGACCAGTAGAAAGAGAAGAGTTGACAATTTCATGACGTAATAGAAAGGAAAGGCTTCTAGCATCCGATCGAAAGCGGTCATTACAAAAGCAGAGATCCTGAAAAGAATAGTTGTCCTTGTTCTGCCTGTATCTTATTTCCGATGATAAATTTAACCAGTATATCCTCATGCTTTCTGATGAAGGTTTTTCATCGGGATATTGAAATGTGAGAAGCATAGGAATGGCGACAAGAATTGTATTGCACACTAGCCAGTTGCTATTTCTTGTAAGAAGAAACAAGAGGAGCAACGCTACCAACTTTGCCACCTCAAAAGTCTTTTCTCAATAAAAGAAGAGCGTATTGATATTCGCAGTACCGATTCAACCTGCCATCCTGACGCATCGGATATTGCCTTGAGTCCTCGAGCCGTAAACCATTTCTACAGGTATATAGTTCGATGGTAAGAGTAGAGAGGAGACAATGAAAACCACCTCATTATGAATTCTGTCGTGAAGGATGTCCCCACACGACGCCATGACCGCAACTTCTCCAAAGTTAGTTGTGAGTAAAAATGATGCAAACCGATTTTGTGATGGACTCCTCATGCAAAACACTTATTGCCAAATGATAGACAGCGTGGTCAATAGGATGTTTCACAAGAAAACTCAACTTGTAAGTGATGTGGGAGGGAAGGATGACCTTTGTGTACTTACACGGTGATCAAGCAAACTAAACATGGTTTAGAAACTCAAATTCTGTCCACACCTGACACTGCAACCCATACCATTTTCCGCCTCAGTCACGTTAGCGAAGCATCAAGGTCTGAATGTTTGGAAAAGAAGGCGATAAAGGCTGCGCAAGGTCGGCATATGCATGTGAAGCGGTTGTACTTGGAAGAACGGTGGGAAACAAACCACAAGCCGCAGCTGAGTTTGGAAGTGACAAGGAAAGCGTGTTTAGTTGAAGTAGCGTTTTTAAATGAGACTCATACCACTTTGTAGAGCATTGCATGGTGGCTCCAAATCTGTCTTCATTATCTGGCAAGCGCCTCTGGATGAGTTGAGACAATCTTTTGGAACGAAAAATGAATGCAAATCTTAGGTCAAAACAATCGTCCAATCTTTTCAGCACTCAGATAAAGCAATGTTAAGTATCATATTAGAAAAATGTATCCATTGCATGAACTGCTCTGATATTCGACACCGGACCATTTAAGAAATTTGTGTGCTTTAGTTTTGTGTTCAATTTTTTGACCCGAAAAACGCCCATAACTCGGCATCCAAAGGGGCTTAGCAGATAATGAAGGCAATTGTGGAGTCACTGTGCAATACTCTTCAAAGCAGTCTTGGTCTCATCTGGAAAGGCCACTTCAACTATACACGCTTCCTTTGTGAGAAAATTGAATAAGTGGGGGCTTCAATGAAGGCATACAGTCGGATACAATCCAAAAATTTCATGTGGAGTCTGGTTAGTATCGTTAGAGGTTTTGCGAGCTCACAGCGCTCGCATTTATCAGGCTATGACTGAAAAATACAAGGAACTGCAAAACACCTGCCCTGTTACGACATTAAGCTGAAGTTGCGATACAGAAACCGTGCGTGGCTCATCTCAATCTCGGTCTGAAAAGGGTTGCATGAGACCGCACACAAGCAGTAGCTAGATGATTTGTAGCAGATAAATTCAACCCTAAACTCATGCCCCCGTGTATTCTAGATCGGCTTATGCTAACGACGTTTTTGCTGCGTGTCCATCATGCGCTTTTATGTTTCTACAAAATCTTGATTGAAAAGAGTAAAAAATAAACTAGGGCATTCCACGCCTTCCCCAAAGACGACGCGCACAACTGAAGAGAAGAAAATGCATGGAGTTTGGGAGACGGGTTTAAGCCTCGGTATAAGGGAACAAGCACAACGGCATCTGGTGCGTTGAGAGATGAGATAGCTAGCATTGATCGAGTGAGCGAACGCTTTATGAACACAGAAGTAGCCGAGAAAAAGATCTCTCGTGTAGTAACATACTACACACGACAAGCACTACTGCAGAGAAGCTGAAGTCCCTCCAGGGTACCGCAGCAGTACCGTTGCTGACGCAGAGCCGTACCGGAACTTTTGATAGAGATTTCGACTAATACTTGGCTGGGAACGACATCCCCAGCGAAATGACCGTGTATAATTCAAAATTAGCTGAGACGACGCCGAGATAGCACGGAGCTGTCTTGGCGCTGTCACAGCTCCGGAAATCTCGACGGAGCCTACTCAGATAATCGCCAGGGGCAGGCGGTTCGCAAACTCGCGCTTTTCTGCAGGTGGTCGTCAGAATTTTGGGGCGCGGCCAAAACTTCGGCGAGCTGTACTTCTTTACTGTGCATGGTTTTGCTAGCGGGTAGCGATGCAGAATTTTCTGCGAGCGGTCGTCAAATAATTTCTTTCAGCGAGCGCTCTAATTTCTGTTGCGCAGTTTCGGGAGTACGCTGAGCGTCGGCAACACTACATGGCAGAAGGGTCATTGATGGCTTAATTACCTGAGTTTGGTGTACTTTCTTTCAGCGGAAGGGCCTGCGGGCTGTGCGGTTCTTCACAAAGGAACGTGCGGCCCTTGCTAATTTTGTATATTCTCGCGGAAACTCCGCGAGAATGCGGCCACTGCGCCGCAACTATTCTTGAAAAATCGTTACACAAGCAATTGCTTCCATCTTCTATTTTCTTTAAACCTTGGCATTGTTGTAACTTGTCATTTACGTTGTGCCATACAAGGTTTGTTATGGTGGCAACTTTATTCAATCGGCCTTCTTTCAACGGGTTCGTCGTCCTCAGAGGTCTAGAATCGATTCAAAGTACATTTCGCGGAACCAGGCCGACAAATGCAATACAATCTTTAAACGCGGGACTTCATTAACTTACTCCAAAAAACCTTCACCAGCCAATTTTAGGTCATTCTCAGCGCAAATCCCAATATTTCATGCTCTGTCAGGTGTTTGAGCTTACTATGAATTATTTTGGCTTCGTGGTGTTTTATGCAATGGAAGCATTCAAAGTTAAGGTAGGGGATATCACGGCAGCACTTCTAACTTCACTATCGTATTCTCTCAATAAGTTAACAAAATATATTATTTTGATGTCGCCTTTCGATCAATCCTGCTAGTAAAGATTTCGCAAAAACTCTGAATTCCTAACATGTTACATGGACATATCATTATAGCTTTTTCATACTTTAAAGTAACAGTTTCAATAACTAGTTTATTGATGTTTGACAAGAATAACACTACTTTGATATATCAGTTTAAAAAGGATTGTTTGAGGTTATATTGCCTTTATGTGTAGGATTGACCGTTTCCTTTCCATGGGTAGATCCTTTCAAATGTGCTGGGGCACCTGCTTTCTCCTGTTGAGAAACAGCTCTTTGCTCGTGCTCCACACTTTCGCTGGAACTCGATCCACTACCAGGAACTACTGCGTTGAAATTTACAAAATTTTCAGCAGGAGGACTGCTGCCATGATGTTCGCGATGTGGATGGGAACCTGAGACATTCCTTCCAGCTTGGCGTCGTTCACTATCTGAAAGCGAAGATGAATGCTTTCTATGCCTTGATCTGCGTGATTCGTGTTGACGATCACTATCTGAGTGGGATGGAGGACTTTTTCGCCTATCTTCACTCCTTTTATGCTCCCTGTCTGAGTGGTACGGACTCACAATCTTGGTTTTATGGGTCACAACCTGTTGCCTTTGTATCGTGGAAAGCTCGGCACTTGTCAGCGCCTTCAGGGCTCGAGTGAGCATTTCGCGAGCTGATGATGTTTTTGCTGTTTTCACATCTGGTTCCTCCTGTTCCCTTTTGTGTACGTCCAATTTGGAAGGCACCTATAAGCAGATTTTCGTCAAGTTAACTTACATCAATAAGCGCCTCGATGAATAGCATGTCCCCTTGTAATCAAGGAAAAACTCCCCTAGGCCTCGGACAGAGTCCACGTGATTTATTCGTCGCGATTCATCGCTACAAGATATCCTCGAGTCATTTGTAATTTAATATGTGTAATGCACATAATGCGCCTTATTAGACGAACTTGCAAGATTAGGACCTACTCATTTCCAGTGAATTCTCCTTGTTCCTTGCCTCTTTTGATTTGATGGTTACGTATAACTTAGCATAACACATATCTAAAGTTTGCTTACGCTAAAAAAGGTTTCAGTGAAGAGTTACTACTAAGATTGCCGTCGATTGCCGTGCATAGTGTGCACACTCACATATTAAGTCACAAATGACTCGAGGATAAGTGTTACGGTTTATTGCATGCCGATCTTCTTGCATTTCGGTTGTGATAGTTTTCCAACACAACTAATCGTGACTAACTATCACAACCGATATACAAGAAGACGACATGCAATGAACTCGTAACACTTGTCTTGCAGCGATGAATCGCTAACCTAATCGCGTGAACTCTGACCTATATACGACTTTGACTGGTCCGGATGTCAAAGTTGATAAAAACGAAATTTTTTGAGCTTTTTAAGACTGTTATGCACTTATTTATTCTGGCACGATCTACAAGAAACTGGCAATGCACGTGGCGTAGTTTATTTGTAAACTCGTAACGACAGTTTCACTGCGGTCTTTGCGTCTACAGGAGCATAAAGCGCTCATACAAAAAGGCACCACCTCAACGCTCAGCTCAGTCACATCCAGTGTGTAAATACTATCATATAAGCAGAAAATCCATTCGAATAGAGATGAAAACCAAAAAATGCGGTTGCCGGAAGGTGAGTGCGGGTCGCGCGCCGTCGCGCCATCGTCGCGATTTTTCAAATGCCCTATACTATTTCTATCTCAAGCTTGCTTGAGCATGCTAATTATAAGGCAACCACTTTTTGAATGAAATCGCAAAGATGAATCGCGGCAATTTGAAAATTTCTAAAAACTTCAAAGGGATATTTGCTAATGCGCGGTCAGTCTATTTCAAAAAAAGCTTTTCTGACTAACGAACAGCATTTCATTCACAAAGACTCTAGCACGGTGATACTTATACTGACCTTTAACCAGACCTTGAGTCTATCGTTCAAGCATGACGGTTCGACCAAAATGAACAGAAGAATGCAGAATTTCTGCAGATAGTAGAATGGCAAATCTTCTAGCATATGGTCACAGGCGGATAATACAAAGGCTGAAATCCTGTAAAGAGGTACAGAACTTTGCGAAAAGGGACAAGAGTCATAATTACCCACCAGTAGACTATCATATGATCTACGGGAGGTTGCTCGTCAGGATACACAAAGATAAGGAGCATAGGGACTATTATGAGCAACATATTGCACACAAACCAATCACTACCTCCATTGAGTAGATAGAAAAGCAGACAAGCAATCACTTTTGCAATCTGTCAAAGCAGCGATTATAGTGAACTGAGGAAATTCTGTAGTCTTATCGCCTTACCGTCTCTTCAGCCCATCCAGTCGCTTGAGAAAGTGATCTAAGGCCTCGTGCAGTAAACCATTTCTGGAAGGAGTTTTGTTGATCCATATTTGGCGGACATGCTCAAACCTGGTTGTGAACCCTGTCGTAGATGATCTCGCTCAGCGTTTCCATGCAGGAGCTTTATTCGAGTAGACAACTTGTAAAATGAAGCACCTCCCCAGTGTTGACTTGATCAAGCAGTTTACGTACCGATAGCCCCACCTAGAATTTTGAACATGCCATTCGCGTATGATGGTTGTTTAGACCAGTCTAATTCAAAGGTTCTCGAAGGAACTTTCTTTCATGACGTTAATGTTTTCATTTCGCCAGAAACCGAAGCGTACACTTTCTTATAGCAACGATAAAAGATCTCTCACCGTGGCACTGCCTTCAGTTTGTGTGTCCAATAAATCGTTTACCAACATAATGTTTGGGAACGTAGCCAACAAATTACCCCACAAGCACTGTACGTTGTTAGCTGAGTCATTTTATGTACTCAGATTTTCTCAGCACCCTCATGTTTACTACAGTCCACTCTACTAGGCCACATCCTTATAATGGCCACAGAAGAGAGCCCGATACATAATGAACATGAACGCTGAAATATTAGGAGACAGTGGCGTACCGAAGGGGGGGGGGGGCGGGGGGGGGGCGCGCCTCCCCCCCCCCCCCGAGAATGGGTCGCGAAATTTTTGAAAGTTACTATATGGGTTATAAAAATGTGCAAATGACTTGTTTATTTCTGTAAATAATTAAAATAATTTTTAAAAATTTTTAAAAATTGAAATTAGCCTTGTGCCACGCCCACTTTTTCTGGAATTTTGAGGTCAGGGGCCCGGAAAAATTTTGGGAAGCACTCCTTAAATTTTTTCGGAGTGCGTGGCTAACGCCACGCACCTTCATTCGAAGAAAATTTTTGTCGCGCCCTCCCCCCCCCCCCCCGAGCGGAAATCCTGGGTACGCCACTGTTAGGAGAATGTACCGGGATTGAAACCACTTCTTCAAACTCTATGTTCACGACTAGAGGAGGTATTTAATCAATCCCGCTCGCTGTTCGGGCGCTGTTCCATCTTATGAGCTTCCGAACAGGCGAAAGCGCCCAATCACTGATCAGAAAAGGTTTGAGGCACGCGTCCGATCAGGCAGCGAGCCCGCTGTCCGAGGTCGGGACTTCCGTGCCCAACATGGCCAAACTTGCCAGATCGGAACCTTCAGTCCACGTTGAATCCTATTGCAATGCCCAACACAGTGGAAATGATGAAATTGTGTGGGCGCTTTTGAGCTGCTCAGCTTACTCTCCATTATGCCGACGGCGCTGACTCATCTCGTTCAAAGGCGGAGACGTATGGTATGCGGAGAGCTGGAATGGCACAGCATGGGGAGAGCATTACAGTGGAGCTCAACGTCGAGCGGACTCTCTTCTCTGAAGCGGTTGCCCCGATACCAGCCGCACACCATCCTCAAGTTCAGCACGATCCTATCCTCTGATCGCATATATCTCCGGTTCTTTGTTCGTCAATAAATCCTTTTCACCTTCATGCAGTTGCTGTCATTGTGGCATTAACTAGCCGCTTCCGCTGGCTAACGCTTACTGTTGCAATGTAAATTGTTTCTTGTTGAATTAGACGTAAAATAAGGTTTCATGTTATTTCAGCACAAATACTAGCAGCTAATATAGCACCTCAGCGGCACGAGGTGAGAAAATTTCTCAGCAAGAGTTTCAACGACAAGCATAATTACTACGCCATCCAGGCAGCTTTGCCGGAATCGAAAAATCGGAATAGTCAGCACATGAGTTTTACGACCTACTCTTAACTGTGAAAGGTTTGTGTTGATCGGACGCCTCTATGAAAAGTTACGCTTTTGAGTTTGCAATAAAGAATGACGAAATCAATTTTGTCGTTGTTCGCAAAAATCATAACCTTTTGTAGGGACGTCCAATCAACACAGACTTTTCACCGTTGAGAAGAGTAATTTGTAAAGTTTAAGTGCTGACGATTGCGGATTTCTCTGCAACGTTTGAGATTGACCATTTAACTCAAGATGACCGAAGCTTTAATGATTTTCTTCATCCTTTTATCTCTACAACCAATGTTCGAAACAAACTCGCTAGGACAGTACTATAAAGTAAAAAGCTTCTTCTTTCCATCAACATTACAACAAAACAAATCTGTCCGAATAGCGAGAAGCTACGATTTTTTTGAAACGACAGAACTTTCGGACTAACCCAATGGAAAATTTAGCGTGTGCTTTTGGGACCTGAAATGAACATATAGTGTTTTAGTTGTTTGTTTGTTGTTGTCTCTTGCCTTTCTTTCTACTTAAAAAACAATAGATGCACTCACTTCAGTGAACCTCATATTCATTGCACATATCTTAACAAAACTACACTGCTACACAACATACCAAACTAAAAACGGAATAACATTGTTCATCAACATACCTATTTATTATGAGACATCTCAAGATGAGACAGTCATCTTACAACGATACAACTTGTGAGGAACGTCACCGCCACCTTATTACTTTGACTATAAGATCTGATAACCGGGAATAAACTAGAAAGAAATTATGAACTCAATGATCAAGATGGTAATTTAGGGAACGAACAGTTCCAGATCATTTCAATACACTCATCAGTCATTTTCAATATGAAAAAAATTATGCAACTAGATCCTTTGTCAAACAAAATTATGCAAGGACTTGAAAGAATATGAAAGTCCAAAAAAAATGCTATAAATGAGCAGATACGAAGTCCTAAAAACGAAACACAATCTACGGAACAACAAATGATGAGGTCACTTCTTCGCACTGTCAGTGCAGTGCGTATACTATACTGAGATCTCGTCGCCGTACCTTGCCATAAAGTACATCAAGAATAGACCTATGAATAAACCGACAGACTGGAGGAAGAGGACGTAAAGGCCACGCTTCATGGATATGTTCAACGCATCTTCCACAGCTTTTTTCATTTCAGGCATCTGCAAGATGATATCATGAGAATGTCCGACATGATAAAAGTGAATAATAAGTGGAAAAGCTTGGCTCTAGTCCACTTCAGGTAACCAGAATTAAAGATCCTGTAGTACATTCTGACTCCGCCCCGGGTGGGATGCGGGGTGGTTTCACAAATGATAACGAAAATAGTCGTCGCTACATAGTGGCGCCTTGTAGTGTTACGGTGGGTATACGGTATAAGCCAAAACCTTGAAATCCGCTGTAACTGTGCACAGAGGGAGTATCCCTATGTACTTATGAATGCCATATTCTTTGCTTATAACATCGCCCTATGATGGAGAACTTAGTGATATAGGTATGAAATCCCACCACACTCCCTCAACCGAAGCTCTACTAGAATAGACAGATATGATTCGTGATCATGTCAGATAATGTCTGATATGCTGATCACGAATCAATCACGATGTGTCTGAAATCCTCTACTTCGTATAACGCTCTACGAAGTAGAGGATTTCAAAGTTTGACCCCATACCATACAAAGCGCTCCAAGATACTGCCTCTGAGAAACTTTTTCAAGGCTAATTTGGATTTCTTTTTTGATATTGGAAGGTTATCTAGATAATGACAAGTGAGGAAAGTCATCTGCGCATCAGTAGCTCATCTACCAGGGTGAGTCAAAAGTAGTGAAAACATCGCATCTCTTTTTAAACCTACTCTCAAATTAGAGAGAATATGCATAAGCAAGTGCTCTAAACGGTGTCCGACACAGTTTTTCTTTCTCTTTTCGTTAGATATGATTTTCAACCAAATCACTTCGTAATTGCTGAAATATTTGCAGAAATCTTGAACACAAAGTGTTTTCCGTTCAAAATCTGTGGTTTTTTCAAGAGTGTGGTAATTTGAAGCGGTAAACGCTCGATTATCTTGCAGAATCAAGGTTTGATAATAAATCATTTTCGAAGCTCTCAAATTCGAAAGATTTTGTAGGGTTTAACGCATTTTTGTCCTGAGCCATTTTTTGAAAATTTGGGGTATTTGCAAAAATGATTTTAAAAGGCCTCAAAATGCTAGTTTCAATTACCTAAATTGTGGTGCATCAAGCACGGCTTGCTTCGTCTTTATGTTATCGAATTTGTTCGAAAACTTCAAACTGAAAATTCTGAGAATTAGCTAAACTCAGGGAAAGCAAAAATGACGGGTTCAAAATTTGGGAAATTTTTTCCGACAACTAAGACCATTGGCCTCACTGCTGAGAAGAGAAAGAAAAGCTACGTTTTATACAACTTAGGGTACTCTTCTATCGCTATTCTACACAAGTTGCGGAAAGTTCGAAATGGGGAGCTAAAAGTTCTCATTACTTTTGACTCAACCTAAGAAACTGCTTTGAATTTCGTGATGAACTCCCCTATTCCCGTCCGGTCCACCATGTCGGTTAGATATATGGCCCCACCGGACAGAATGACTATCTTCGTAATTATCGCCTCAGAAAAGCTACCCCCCCCCCCCTACCTCCATCTAGACAAAGTTACAAAGAAATTCAAGTACAAATGGAACCACAGCATTTTGACTCAAACTTGAAAGCAAAGTAGCTTATAGCTGTTTCTGAACTATAACTAATCGTCCGAAAAAACACCATGCACCTACCATGCATCCAAGTGAGATGTATAGAAACATTCCTCCGGCAAGAGCAAAAGCATACTTGGAGATATCTGGGCCGAGTTCACCGATACCAACACCGATGAAAAATCCTAAAGAAGTAAATATGTTTCATCACACTTCTACTAAGATTTTTTCTACTCACCAACATAACACGTGATAGCGCTCAGTAGATTGTAAAGAAGAGCTTGACGTAGTGTCATACCGGAAGCCACAAGGATTGCAACATCTCCTGTAATTTTGCACTAGTTGAGCACATTTCGATGAAAGCGATAAGACCAAAAGCTATACCAAGCTCATGAGGAAACTCTTCCGCAAGGACCGCAAGCGATACAGATAAGCCAGCATGCAGCGATTCCGCAAATGAGGCACCAATCGAGATGCCGTCGATAAAATTATGAAAACCGTCACCAAAAATGATCATCCAAGCCACGGCAGCAATTGCAGAATCACCCGCGCGAAACTCGACGGAATGATCGTGCACGCATATTCCATGGGCCTGAAAAATGCATTGTCTAACGAAAGGTACAGCACGCACAACAGAAACTAAACTAAAAAGCACTGTAACCCTTGCACATGCGTTCAAACTACAACTAATGATAGTATGCAATGTTGACAGCCTGATGCACGGTTTGTCTTTCTACTGACAACATAGTCACAGTTTTCGGCGACAATAGGAGCATACTTACCAAATTGGTAGTATGAATTACAATTTGTTTTACTTTCTTTTTCAAGCAGAACATGGCTACGCTCTCTGCTTCTTTTTGATTTTTTGTTAATAAACGTGATTTTAGCCTATGCAACAACGCCATCTCAAATTCACATATTCCGAAACGTTGCGAGCCATACTGGCAGGTATTTCATAAAATTGTTAGTCACGTTAGAGGAAAGAAGAAATTTGTTAGAAGTGGATCGAGATCTGATTGTGTCAGTATTCAGAACGCACCTCCTCTCGCATACTTAAAAACTCGCTACTTGCACCAACAACCAAATTCTCTCCACATGAACACTCTGATTTGTGACAAAAGGTGAAAAAGAACTGATATTAGAAAAGAGGTAACGTCATGATTACTGCACACAAACAACAGGGTAAAAACGGAAAATCCTTTTCACATTACTACTAACAGAACTTCGATGCTTCGCATTCTCTTCGCCAAATTCACGGTGCTTTCCACACGCAAAAAGTGAGCCGAAAATCCGTATTGAAGGCAGCTTGCAATGACGTCGGGCGCAAAAACACTAAACGGAACCACCAAATAGAATGTGTTTTGTTAATTAGCTAGAGAACCAGAGGCTGAAGTGGAGGAAGTCATAGGCAGCAGATGCCAGCACAACCCCTATGATCTGATAACAAGACGATAACAATTCACTTCACAAGAACAATGGCCAAAATCTAGGAAAACGAAACAAATCAAGAGCTGGGCGAAATTTAAAGGTTACAAGGATGAATATGAAAGGTTAAGCATAGCCAATAATAAACCAGAAACAGCCTCCAATCCCTAGAAACAAACATTACCTGGTCACCCATCGATTTTCCAGCATTTGTTTCTAGTTTTATCAACTCCATCTCAGCAGTCTCGCATCTTTTAGCGGTTTCCTAAATAGAGAAGCTGATTCATATAGCAGAAGAAGACAGAAAGCAAAAAGCTACCAACATTTTCATGATCTGACTTATCGACAAGAGCTGAATCGCTTCGACTCGAAAGTCCATCCTTGTCTGTCACTTGCACAGTGACAATCTGGGAGCGATTTCTCTACAAAGAAAATCATGAAAAGAAAAGAATTATGAGAACATGATACAAGTAAAGCAACCAGTATAGGAAAGTGTAAAACATTCGTTTTTTTCTTCTCTTTTACTACAAGTAATGCCCAACGATTTACGACAACCGAGATAATGCAGGCTCCGCTACGCCCTGTCCATAAAGGGAAGGGAAAACATACTGTATATTTTTGTAAATGAAGCGCCACCTCATTTACACCTCATTTATATATCGTACTAGCTGGCTTACCCGGCTCCGCCGTATCCGGACCAAACTTGGCACACATACACTTCGGGCCCCGGCGGGTGTCACAGTCCACTTTTCGTTATCGATCGATGTCGATTTTACCGATTTTTATCGATTTTTTTGCAGAGTTCACCTACAGGGCTAGGAGTTGGCACAGGGGGGGAAGTGAGCATGGGGATTCCGAATACAACATTAGTTTTCAGGATCGTCCATTACTTTTATCGATTTTATCGATTTTTTTTGTAAAGTTTGACCTGCGGGGCTGGGAGTTTGCACAGGGGGGTAATCGAGCATGCTGATTACGAACACAATATTAGTTTTCAGGATCGTCCATTACTTTTATCGATTTTATCGATTTTTTTGTAAAGTTTGACCTGCGGGGCTGGGAGTTTGCACAGGGGGTAATCGAGCATGCAGATTACGAACACAATATTAGTTTTCAGGATCGTCCATTACTTTTCGATTTTATCGATTTTTTGAAAATTTGAGCTAGGGGGCTGGAATCTGGCACAGGAGTGTAATCGAGCATGCTGATCACCCCCCTTGGGGGTGATCAGCATGCTCGACTACCCCCCTGTGCCAACTCCCAGCCCCCTAGCTCAAACTTTGCAAAAAAATCGATAAAATCGATAAAAGTAATCGATAATCCTGAAAACCAATATTGTATTCGGAATCCCCATGCTCGATTACCCCCCTGTGCCAACTCCCAGCCCCGTAGCTCAAACTTTGCAAAAAAATCGATAAAATCGATAAAAGTAATCGATAATCCTGAAAACCAATATTGTATTCGGAATCCCCATGCTCGATTACCCCCCTGTGCCAACTCCCAGCCCCGTAGCTCAAACTTTGCAAAAAAATCGATAAAATCGATAAAAGTAATCGATAATCCTGAAAACCAATATTGTATTCGGAATCCCCATGCTCGATTACCCCCCTGTGCCAACTCCCAGCCCCGTAGGTGAACTCCGCAAAAAAATCGATAAAAATCGATAAAATCGATATCGATCGATGACGAAAAGTAGCCTATGACACGCGCCGGGGCCCGAAGTGTATGTGTGCCAAGTTTGGTCCGGATCGGTTCAGAAATGGAATTTTCTATTCGGAACATACGTACACACAGACAGACATACAGACATACATACATACATACATACATACATACAAACAGACATTCAGCTTTATATATAAGATGTTATCGTGATTATATGACGACCCTCGTCGCACTGCGGACGATTCCGTTCCATTCTTACATCACTTTTTTACAGCGGTTTCCCAAAACTCAAACATCTTGTTTCGTCATGTATGGCATGCAAAAAAAAGTTCAGTGGTAAAGGGACCTTCAAACCTAACTCCCAATGAAATCAAGCAATAAAAGATACTACGACATCGCTACCTAACATGAAAAAGCATCGCAACTGCATGATTTATGCAAAACACTCTGAAGGTCTTTGATCTAGAATGTTCTTTTTGATAATACGAGTTCTTTGACAAACTTCCACAGAAAAAGCTAACTTTGATATCACTCGCTCATCAAATGTAATCGATGCCCTCTTGACTGTAACAATCGCGAGGGTTCGCTGATGGCTCAGATGACGAGATGTTTTGAGTGTAATATTGGTTGCTCATTGTATGACAGCATTGAAATAATTTGAAAGACATGATTTCGAAGGAAAAAGTTGACACCAAAAGTCGAAGATTTTTACAGGACGCCGAAGTTTATGCTTTGGGGGTGTGTTCATACTGATCCCGAGTCCGGGAACAGTTCCAGCACTTCCGGATCAGTAAAAACGCAGCCTTTCACATGAGGGTAGGCAGTAGGTAAACTTTGAAAGACAGAATCTTTGAGAGCTCCGATTTCTTGCTCCCTCTGCGTCAAGTTCTTATCCTTCCATCCAGACATAAGTGCTCAAGAAAATCGTATCACTGTTTTTATACATGAGTGGTAAGAGCAGCTGAGTAAATGTAAATAATTGGCTGACGTTAATCTTCAGCATAAATATTTGCTCGACTAGTGCAAATGAAGTCCTTATCATATGGCTTAATGAGTCAAAAACCACGGCGATACTCAAACAAGCTCAAGAAAAACAGATGATGCCCATCATTGAGATGAATGAACGAAAGCTAGCAGCGTCCACTCTTCCACAGTTTCTATTCAGTCCACTTCTGCATACGCAGAACCTTTACTGATTTATGTGAACAATAAGGTAGTAAGGCGTGCAGAAGGTAACTACGTCTACAGAATAACAAGTAAAAAATGTCTCAAAATCATTGAAGCATTCAAAAAAGTAGTGAAAACAGGAGACGAAAGCTCCTAAAAGGAAAAAAACTGACCTTTCTCATTTCCAACACAATTTTGATGACTTTGTCGCACATGAAGAATAAATATACTCCTAGTAGCGAAAAATGTGCCATATGAAGGTAAGAATGTGTCAAACGCCCATGTTCATCAGTTTCCTCCATGAGAGATGGATGTGCCTGAAAATTATGTAATTTAAGAAACAAAAGAGCTAGGAATAACCTCGCTAACCTGCGGTAGCAAATGGTAAAAACTTGAACCTGACAGTGAACCGACACCCAGTCCAACGAAAAGTGTGATAATCTAGAATAGTTTGCAGTCAAAAAAAAGTAAAAAGCATTAATCTCAGACAGGAAAACTATTTTGGAGCTATCTCACAATAGCCTAAAACTATGGTTTCGCGCACCTTGTTCTAAGACAAAATTCCAAAACAAAGAATGCTACACGTGCAGATGCACCGATCCTTGAGATTGAGCTCAAACAACAACAAAAAAAGACAAAGCTGCATGACTTTAATCAACAAAAATTGTTAAGTTACTAACGAACCTGATTATATGCATCCTTAGTAAGAAATCGCATTACCCCAATTCCTACCACAGCGCACATGTTGATTATAGTGACAAATGTGAGTCCAATGCCCCATACTGCAAATACTTATAAATAAAAACAATTCAGCAAAGAAATGAACTTACCCATATATGAGGATGGTCTTTGTCCCAATAAACCACTGGTGATGGTGACAGAAGCATTTGTGAGAAAATCACCATTATTGGCCGTTGAATTCGTCAGCACCTCGGTGGTTGATGTAGTACTTTCTCCCATCAACGCACATAGCTGACGTATTTGACTTTCCGTGAGATTCGCTACGGATGTGGATGCATCCCATGGAAAGGCATGGATCACCATGTCTGCAATGATGAAATTCATACAATGATCGCTGTGATGGCGCTTCCGTAAAAACGAGCACATACAATAACATTAATTTTTATATTTGAAACTATACTACAGAGTGAATAGTTTGGATATAACTGCCTATAAACGTCGCAATTTACGAATGCAGACACTACGTGCAGCTCAAAATCCAGAATACGGCCGTCTAGTTTTGATTTCTTCAAAGTACAGTACTTATGGATACGCAATCAAGAAACCGGTATGAGGAGAACCAGAACATGTCCGTTTCTAAGTTGTGGAAAGAAATCGCAAACGTCTGCAACTAGATTGCAGAAGCTGGAGCGAATAAGGAGTTTTGCAGAACAAAAACGAGTAAACTACAGAGAGAAGTAGAGAGCAACCAAATTTGAGGTTAATGTGTAGCAAATAACAATTCAAACGATAGACGTCGGCCTCATAAAATCGCCTTTCTTGCCCGCACTGGAGAGAAACCATAAGTGGACAAATGTAAAAGTATGGAAGTTCTGATATCGAATATGGATACGGCGAATATGAAATCAGACGGACAAGGCTAGCAAACATGCAACTAATCATTGTCCACCTTCTCGCATACTATTTGCTCAGGTAACAGTAGACATGAATGGCGTTATTGGGTTATAGAAAGTACGCGAAAGAAAGCCCACAACTGACTTTGGATAAGCAGTTCTAGAAAATCAGGGTTGAAATTCGTTTCTAGACTTTAGAAAAGACCTCTCAAACCTTACTAAATTGGAGAAGGGCAGAAACTGCCGCAGATTCCATTGGCAGCCGTAATTATTCGACAGCCTTTTTATTTAAATGTTCTCCTACAGAGAAGCCCTATTTTTGTAGTTTGCAAAAGCACAATAAACCTCACTGAGTCAAGAAAAGGGCAGACAGTTTCGATCAATGGTGCTCATTCAGCGCAAAGAATTCTGAGCAAGAGTTATAAAATTAACAAGTTTCGATCCATCAGTTTAAGAACATGAGATGGCCCAAAATGACGTATGATATGATATTGAAAACTTAAATTATTTTTATAACCTTTGATTATCTCTAAAATTTCCTGAGCTTTGGGTATCAAAATTATTGGTTACAAATGGATGCTTTATTTTGCCCTTTTAGTAGCTCAACACGCAAAACGGTCGAAGTTTGACGCGATAACTAAATTGAGGGGTGCGACATACATTGTTCATTATCAACATAAAAGCGTTTAGCTATGACCAAAACTGCAGTCTCTTGAACTTGATTACAAAAGAAAGAATTTTCTTTCGAAATTAGACAGAAATTGAGGCAAAATTCAAATTCAATTCACTCAACGACATAAGATAGTGAATTTTGGACTTAAAAATATCGGCAAGCACGTCGAAACCTTTTTTGAATTGATGGATGATTCATCAAGAACAAAGCGAATTGCAGAAAGTAAGGAGCGACTGTAAAAAAAACTTTACAACATTGCGGAAAATTTTCACACAAAGGTAATCCAATAAAGATTGTGATATGATACTTCACAAGAAAAAATAACAAAGAGTGCACTTTGTTAGCAAGGGTTCCCACAGTTTACCCATAAACAAAGTGTTTCACAGCACAAAATCAGATTAAAACCTCAGTCTTCATAGGGTTGCTACTGCCACCCTCGGCTCGAAGCTCATGCTGCATCGACTCAGTCGGAGAAGAAAAACATGAGTGCTTTACAGGCGCAAAGAACGCACATGTGGCCGTTCGCGTCTGGAACGGAGGACGGGACTAGAGAGAGTGAATGCTTCAAAGGACACCGCAAGGAGAGCAGCTCCACCCACATTCCAGCTAAATCCGTTCGCTTATTCGATGAGCTATAAGTACTCTCACGCGCACGGGAGTTAGCGCGAGTAGAGTTAGCGCGTACTTTGAGCAGAGGTGCAAATCGAGGACTAGCTGGCTAGCTCGCGACAGACGCGCATATGAACTGTCACTCATTAGCTTATCGATAGATAGTACACAGATACACATACACACGACAGGGATTTCAGTAAGGGCAGGTGAATTGGACTTTTGTTCCCAATCTAAATCCAGACATCAGCTCTCTGAGTTGTTTACGCTGTCTGACTAGAAAGTTCTGAAAAGCTAATCGACATGGAATGCTCGGAGACCTAAGACAAAAATAGATATATCGCAATAATTCTTATCTAGGTCTCGTACTTGCCTACTGCGACCGATGAAATTACTACGCCCAATGCAAAAAAATGCCCGAAATGTGCTTAGCCTTGCCGAAAGAGACCATAATAAATGCACCATCAAATAATGAGTCGCATGGTGCGCCTGACCAGTTCAGAAACTCCGAGCGCTTCAAAAAGCTATAGGCAAGTACCAATGGCGGTCTCAGGAATTCCTTTGGGGGGGGGGGGGATAAAAAGTTTTGAATGAAGGTGCGTGGCGTTAGCCATGCACTCCGAAGAAATTTTTGGGGTGCTTCTCAAAATCTTTGGAACCATAAATCTAGAAGAAATTTTTACAAGTCCAATTAGGATTTTTTGAAATTTTAAAAATTATTTCAACTATTTGCGAGAAGAAGCAAATCGCTTGCACATTTTTATAAACCATGTAAGTAAATTTCAAAGATTTCGGACTACAGCCGTTTTGCTGGAGGTTTTTGAATAGTTGCAAACCTTTACTATGCCCCTGTAAGTGAGCTTATGTTGATACGAGGACTGTTACTCCCAGGAATGAGAACAGAAGAAATTATAGATTCAAGAAATTATGCGAGCATTGTTTAAATCTGAAAAATTTTCACCGGGCTATAATTCAAAGATTATTTCGCTTGTTCTTGCATACATCATTCGAATGGAGGCAGAAATCATTACATAGAGGATAAAATATGAAGTCAAAAATAAGGTAAAGTGCGTGTAGCGTTTGGCGGTAATTCATAGAATTCACAAGAAGGCCTAACCTAGATGCCCATACACTAGGGCCTAACCTAGATGCCCATACACTCGAGAATGACATGGTTGCAATGACGTCATTGTAGTATGTACCCCAAACACCCACACCAATGAGATGTACTCTGGTCAGTAGCATCACTCAAGGTTGCCCGTCTACAAAGAAGAATGCAAAATTAGGCACACATGAATCATGTTCAAGATCATTCATGTTATATTTTAAGTTAGAGAGAATTCTAGAAAGCAGTATATTTAGCACAGCGATTCCAACTCATTTCTTAAAGGTTATTACGACGGGAAAAACTGAAAGTCAAAACTTTTCGTAAGTCTGCACGGCAACATCAAATTCGATGAGGAAAGTATTCAGTTCAAAAGAAATTAAAAGAGGTGACAAGAATTACGTCAATCACAATGAGTGATTTGTAAAAACCACACTGGTTTATGGAGTTTACGGTCTATTTGCAGAAATGATAAGCATTTGTTGCGCAAAAATTACTCAAAATTATTCAAGTAAGATACTAGCGTTGTTGTATTCCGACCATAATTTCAAATAATCCTCATTTGTGAGAACCAGAATTTAGCCTAATTGAAGTTTCTGGCTCATCTTTACGAAAAGATACTCTGCAAATAGACTGCGACATTGAATTTGCGACGAGGGAAGGAAGATGAGAATCTTTTTGAGCCGCAAACTAAAACAAAAAAAAGGAGCGTTTCGTCGAGTTAGCAAATCGCTTATTCGATAATGCCCACAAGAAATTCCTCACTACAAAAAGAAGAACAACTGAGTGCAAAAACACTTATCTGCAAGGATTCCATGGAAACAGAAAGCATAGGTAATCAGCTTGAATCTCAATGCATCAATCTCTTACCACATGTGATAGAACCATTCATGTCATGCACAAAGATACCCAAAACATGTGCATACTCCCCACGTCTACTTTCGAGGACTATAAACTGGCAAAAAATGATTCCATGACGATAATTTTATCACTCTTAAGTCGCAGCAGGACATATGGTGCATCCCCCAGAACTGTTCCCATACGAACCATCAACGTGGCTGCCTTTCGATCATTTTAACACGTCAATTTCGAATAAGCGCCTTAAATTTGCTGGAGTTAATGTGTCAAAAAGAACGAAAGGCAGCGCCACGTTGATGGTTCATATGGAAACATTTTTGAGGAATGTATGATAACTAATTTTTACTGGGAATCCAAGCCAACCGGAAATTAATGCGCTTGAGTATGAGGCTTTTCTCAGAGATTTAGTGCCGCAGTGTGGCATTTTTCCGATGCTCTGCGATGGAGGACCGTTCATAAAAGCCCTGGAGACTTCGCTCAAAAGCGCCCAAAAGCGCTCAAAAGCGCGCAAAAGCGCCCAAATTTCTCTGGTGTCTCTTCACTTTCTCGTGTGAGGAGAGATGAGAGACAGTGAGGAGAGGTTAGAGAAGTTTGGGCGCTTTTACGCGCTTTTGAGCGCTTCTGAGCGAAGTCTGGCCAGGGCCAAACTCTTTGAGAATGCCGAGGACAAGCTCGAATTTCAAACAGGTTCTCGATAGCTAACAGTGAAATTAAGTGATGCATGCAAGTAAAATTATGAAAGCGGGCCATGCAAGAAACTTCGGATTTGAAGAAACCTCTTTTTAGATGCAGCTCATGATTATGATGAGATATTGATAAATTTTCGCAAGGAAGCGAAAGAAGGTTGGAACGAAGGTATGAAGAAGAGTCAAAATTCTGGCACGATGATGCAAAAAGCAAACGATAACACCACCATCAAAGAGAGCATCGAGAAAACTTCTTCTCACTGCGCTCTTTGATGGTGGCACGATGATGCAAAAAGTAAACGATAATACCATCATCAGAGAGAGTAGTGAGAAAAACTGAATCGAATCTCAATTTGCCCAAGCTTAAGCAGTTTTTAGGACCGAAACGCTAAAATTCTCAGTTCCTTCAACATCTAAAAACGGAGCAACGGAAATGGCATACGTAGCGAAGTGAAACAGCGCTGAACAAGAGCCAGTGACGTTTGTCATAGGAAAACAACAGCTTTCCACGAAAATCTAGTCGAGAGCCGAGCAGGCGCCGGAACTTGCGCCGGCGAACGTGAAAATCGCGAGGTTTTTTTGAACGAACATGTCTGGCGCGAAGCGCAGCAAAGTTCAACTGGAGCACGTTTGCAGCCATGTTTTTGTCAAGTTTACCCAATAGTGAACTCGTTATAGTGATTCACTCTTTTATAATTTCTACTTCGGGTTTGATGAAGGCTGAATGTTCCACTGTTTGGTTTGAAATTTTGCATTACTTTAATTCACTTGACTTTATTTGATTGCATTACTTTAGGTGGTTTTTTGATGTTGATTCTTCTCTGTGCTGGTCTTATCATGGGGCTATCATCTTGCCACTTGCTAACCGCGATACAAGCATTCATAGTTGCTTTTTCCTTTTGTTTTTAGCCGTATAATTGAAGTTTTTCGGTACAGTGATAAATTATCCTTTGCAGTCATACAATTCACTTCCTTTTTATTCCTTTATTTCTGAAGGAAATGTCTTCATGAAGGCTGGTGTTTTAGACGCCGATACAACTTGACAGCTTTTATGACAACCGTGCCACAGTCTGCAACCTACCAGTTTGAAGATGAAGAACTGAATTTAATAAAGTCTACTGGTGTCTCTTGTGATCGACTTCGTCAAGCTTTGAAGAAGTGTATAAAAGAGTCCCATTGTGTGCAGGTATGAACTATATGTGTATTATCAAATCATCAGATTATCAAATTGCTTATCTTCTTCCCACGGTTTTTGTAAGGCTTATTTCCAACGTCAAGTAGTTTGCTCATCATGACTTGATCGTTCTGTTGAGATATTTTTCCTCTCATTTTGCGAATAATGTAGCTTTTCCTCACGAAAATCTCTGTTTGATTAGAGAGAATGTCTAGGTCCAAGCAAGATCGGCAAAGGAATGTATCGACGCACATGATGGAAGTGTGCCAGAGAAATGCTTTGCGCTGCTCAATAATGGGAAGAAGAAGATAAGCAATTTGATAATCTGATGATTTGATAATACACATATAGTTCATACCTGCACACAATGGGACTCTTTTATACACTTCTTCAAAGCTTGACGAAGTCGATCACAAGAGAACACCAGTTTGAAGATGAAGAACTGAATTTAATAAAGTCTACTGGTGTCTCTTGTGATCGACTTCGTCAAGCTTTGAAGAAGTGTATAAAAGAGTCCCATTGTGTGCAGGTATGAACTATATGTGTATTATCAAATCATCAGATTATCAAATTGCTTATCTTCTTCCCACGGTTTTTGTAAGGCTTATTTCCAACGTCAAGTAGTTTGCTCATCATGACTTGATCGTTCTGTTGAGATATTTTTCCTCTCATTTTGCGAATAATGTAGCTTTTCCTCACGAAAATCTCTGTTTGATTAGAGAGAATGTCTAGGTCCAAGCAAGATCGGCAAAGGAATGTATCGACGCACATGATGGAAGTGTGCCAGAGAAATGCTTTGCGCTGCTCAATAATTTCTCCGATTGCAAACGATCGCTTGTCGATATGAGGAGTCGTTTTCGTGGCAGGAAGGGAGACCTATGAAATTTTTCTTTCTCACATTTATAGTTTCTTATGCTTTTACAGAGAGTGTTTATACTTGGCATTCTTTTTGTTCCACTAATAAATTGTCAGAATCCTTATTGCATTGCTGAGATTGAAGCGATCACGCAAATGTTTAACTTCTTTTTTTCGGTAGTGTAGTGTTGAAAATTCAGTGTACAGCCTCCTATCAGCACATCTGCCTTGTAGTAGCGCTGGATGTTAGAACTTGGAGAGACTTCGGTGGCATTTGAACCGGAAACTCTTCAGAATGGTCAGTCCGGTAACGTTACGCAGAACTTCTTCGACGATGTCAACTTGAAGGTGAGCGCTTCGCTATGTTATGCCTTATAGAAATGTAATGACGACGGTCTGGGCATGTTGGCTTCATGGGCTCGCGTTCATATTATTTGAAGCGCTTGAACCCAGTCAAGTCGAATTGTCGCACTTCCGCTACATTCTTCTAGTGTTCAAGCTCATTTTGAATGACAAGGTGCTCATGTGTCGTTTCGTTATAATCAACTTACTTCTAGATTTGCACTGTTCGAAATAATGGCTCATTGGGAATAACTGCAAAATCGTTAGCTGTTAATGATGTAATATCAGCACGGTAAATCAGGGCACTTCACTTCTTCTTTCTTTCCCGTTTGCCTGTCAGAGTATCTCATGTCGTTGCAGGACGAAAGATCGAGGACCGCCTGGTTTGATGAAACTTTCTCCAAATGGGAAACTAGCCATTCTTCAGCGACAAATCAACTCTGTGGTATGCGACTCATGAACACATGCGCTTCACTCATCATCTATTCAGGATATCGTGCTGTTGGAGAAAAATGATGGCACCACGGCTGTTGAATTCAATGTTGCAACCAAGTCTCGCGATATGATACTTAGCGTTGATTGGATAAGCAACAATCAGGTATGCATTCAAGATCATACTTATCCTTGTCCCTCGTCAATTGTCTGCTCCATCAGTCTTTCTTGTTTGGATTCCTTGGTTACCGGTTCTCTACCTCTTATTTCTTGACTTGATGCGACACAGAAGCAGATAAAAGTTCAAAGTTTTTTCTCATAATGAAGCTTCAGATTCTGTTTGTAACCAAGCAGTCATTGGAATTATTCGGTCTGAATGAAGAAAAGAGAACAGCCAAAGTATTGCGGACGTCAAATGTGTCAGCTTCTTGGTCTATATATTACGTGAGTTCTGTTAGAATGTGAGATCCACTTCTTTGAAAGTTTCATGCGTTTAGGCTAAATCAAGCTTGGTTATTGTTGCAACGGGTAGTAATTGCACAACCTTACAACCATTTCTTGTTCAACACGGGCAGTTCACTAGATTGAAGGTGAACTACGTTCTCGGTTGTTTTTATCGAGAAAATGTAGCTAAACGTATATTTAGAATTTTGATGTGGATTCCGGCACGCCTTCTAATGAAAACCTCTTAGAAAAGGATGTTACGTTAACATCTTTGTAAGCGTTTTGTCTCATCCTAGATACTCTTCCTAATTTACGATTTTGAGCAGATATGGAAAGATTTGCGTTATGGTATTGCGGTACAGCGTACGTGGAGCAACCACGACCGATCTGTTGATATACGAACTTTCTTCGGATTTAAATGTCCCTATGAAGATGAAGTATTCGCTAGCGTTAGGTCAGTTATTTCACGACTATGAATAACATTTTTATTGCTTTGTTGCATTTCCATTCAGTTGAAGATGTTCTCGCCGTAATTCTGGATTTATTTCCCTACATATAGAGACTTGTTTTTGTTCGCTCAAGCTTAACCGGTAATGTGAATCGATGCTGTTCTAAGTTGTTTTTCATAGCACATCTGCTTTTTCTTCTACGATGCCTCTGCTCACTCGTACTTGGTTGCACTAGTTTCTCTAGTGCTATTGCTTTTTAGGTTGCTCTGGCGGTTTTGGAATTCATGTAATTGACAATCTGATTGTGGTCCATCATCAGGTTGGTGCCTTCGAGAACAGTTTTGTACAGCGGTTAGATTTACATGGAATAATCCTGTTTAGGGTGTGGCGAAGTCTATGATTTTTGATGTAGCGCTTTCTCCCAATCGACCTACCCATTCTCCACTAATCACAGTCTCAATAAGTTTGTTCGCTTCTTCATGTATGCAGTATGTTGCATTGAATTTCTGAGTTTTTGTAGAACCTTCTCCTGTCTGCCAACCGCCTCCTGCCTTGTACATACCTCTTTGGTCGATGTTCCAACCGGATATAGTCGTTGGTAAGCCAAACAGCCCTTTTTGAGCAACTTTGCTTTTATGCTTCATTATTTCAGATCCTGTTGCTGGGATGATGTATCGGTTAACGGTTTGTTGTAATCGTGCTCAAGATGAAATACACGAAAAGGTAGACTAGCATTCTTTTCTTTTTGTGATGCTAATTCGATGATACTGTTAATCCGTAATAACAGGCTATGCTCATCGAGTTTTTGATACATCGTACGGGTCAGAAGCAGCTTGTACTTGACACATTGCTCAGTTGTTTGAAAGCTAAAGAGTTGCGTTTGCGGCAGATTAGGAAGCTGTTTGATCTCATTGTTGAGAAATATTCTCTATCTACATCAGCTATGAGCAATGGTGCTGGTGGGTGTTCTATTCGATCTTTGCTGTTCCTCAAAACGAACTACCCAACTTGATTAGAATCGTCGAAGCCGCAGTTGGAGCCCGTGCCTGTGCAACACTTGCGAGTTGAACAGCAGGAGATGCAGAGCAGTATCTTTATTCCGATGATGGTAGGTTAAAGTTGAGCAGTTGAAATGCTAACAGCTTTTTGACCTCTTCTTGGCTCGAAAGCCTTGTTTGTTATTCTGCTTTGTTTTAAAAAACATGCCAAAAGAATTTTTGGCATGAGAGGTTTTTTTGAAGAGAGAAGATTGTTTCACCTCATGATATAATATTATTCAGGAGGATTCAACCACTGATGCAAAATTTGTCGCAGATGTGATGTTACAGTATCTACGAAGTTTACATCGTTATGCAATACCTGTCGAAGTAAGGGTTTTACAACCATCATTGATTCGAATCATTCACAACTCTCAGGCATATTTCCTGGAGATGGTCGTAGAAGCGCTCGCACAAGCGGGTGAAATGGCTAAGCTGCATCAGCTTGTAACCTACAGAGTATGCAGTGTTCCTCATTACATTTAAGATCAGTTCAAACTCTCTGTTGCAGGTCGTTTCGGACTCGAAGCCTTTGGCATTTCTTTTGCTTTCGTATGAAGCAAGATGTCCTTCACTGTTTCAATCTGGTATGGATATATTGGCACGGTAATTACCTTGGAATAATAAAAAGATTGTCTGACGCACAACTTGATGAACTTTTATGACCATGAGTGCAATTCTGTGTTAGGCAGTAGTCATGAAGAATTTTACTCGATGTTTCAGGCAAAAAGCTTGTGATGAGATTGTGGAAGTTCTGTTGGAAAGGCGTCATGTTATCGATGCAATGAGGTAAGTTAGTTGATAACTCCCGTTAAATTTCCTCTAATCATATAACCTATTACCCACTATTTCCTATTACGCGCAAAAGAATTTTCAAAGATATCGAGTTGAGCAGGTGAATAAACAGGGCTTTCAAATGAAGTGTCGGGTGCACCAGCATCTCCACACCCGTGCGTACTCTGCATCTCTTCGAACATGCTCTTTAATCACTTCCAGTCGATTGAGGCTTCGCCTTTCCCACGCTCGCCCTGGGAAAATGCTCAGAGAGCACGTTCCGCGAAAGAGACGCAGAGTCCAGCGCGGAAATGGAGATGCTGGTGCACCCGACACTTCATTTGAAAAGCCCTGTGTTTGTCTTTTACTTGATCATCATTTCCACTGAAATCTTTCAGTCGCAATGTTGTGTGTTTCCTTTCAGATACTTGGATACGCAGCAGACAGATACGAACAGTCTGAAGCTCTTAGATGCTGCAAAACAAGAAAATCGCGTAGTCCAATTCGCGGTAATAAACCACTTGATAAATAGAAAGTCAAAAGGAGGTACGTCTATTGAGATATTTATGGAAAGAGGTTATACTTTGCAGAAAACGTGTCGAGATTGGAAAGTGAGATTAAGTCACTTTTTACCGAAGAGGAAATTGAAGAAGCTACGGAAGAAGTGGCTAAGGCTATTCAGTTTACATGATTCCATCTTGCTGCGACTATAGTCTTAGCCAGTAATCACTCCTTGTTACATGTAGTTGACAGTTCTTCTCATCGTCGTCTTTCCAATGTGCCTCAATCTCGTCACATAGCTAAACAAGAGATTTTGCCTCAGTTCATGGTGCCAACTTCTTTCAATCTTCCTACTCAATTTCGCAGAGACTGTGATATCCAATCATTTATGCTGCGCTGATCAAAATCAAACTTCATAGCGCAAATCAGTCTTCAACTTTGAGTCCAATATTTATTCAAATTTTATGATAGCTGTAACTTTTATGTACATTCTATCAATCTCACAAACTTAGAAAATCTATATTTCAGGATAATAAGTGTAAATAGATGTTCACCGCTTTTCTTACTGGTGCTACAAAGAATTTTTTGGACATGCAACTTTACGTCTTTACATCACAGAGTGCTCGATGAATAAAATTTTGAAAAACGTTCTTTTTCGCAGCTGACTTCTTGATAATCTAGCGTATATAGTGGACACACAGAATTTGAAGACCTTTATGTGGTGAAGACATATAAAAATAATTTTCAAATGTTAATACCCGCACTTTAGCTCATTGTCTTTTCTTCACAAATACGACGAATTAATCCACAAACTTCCATTCTTGCCTGCAAAGTGGGCACTGTGGTTTTGGAGTGTTTTGTGCATCAGTCCATTTGACAATACAGTGCATATGGAAAGGATGTTTGCATTGGCCAAGTACCTTAACAAGAGTATAGCTTGTTTTGACAAGTTTAAAAAAAATTTGCCTGAAACTGACCAGCGGACATTCATCGCCTGGACATTTGCAGTCTACACAACATGCTTCAAAAGGCATCCGACAGATGCCACAAGTATCATCACCACCTTCAATCCACTTCCACTCTGCCGTTACCTGTAAGAAAAGAGCAACATTACAGTTTTTCATATAAGGGGACTAGAATAAGCAAAAAATTGTTGAAACACTCACGAATAATTTGTTCACTTTTACTTTCAGTCGGGTATTGGTGGGCAACTCCACAGGCGCTGCGCGAACCGTAGGCGTTGCATTGAAATTCTGTATTACGAGAATTACGAAGGATAAAAGAGGCGAGATAAAAACTCTTCAACCTTCTTCCTCAGCGAAACCACTGGAGCACCATCTTCATCCTCTCCAAATGACGATCCATTCGAAGACCCACTGTAAGTCTGCAACTTGAAGGATGATTTAAAGTATTTCTCTTTTTATTTACGTGGAATGATTGTGTTTATTATAGTTAAATATAAAGCATGATTACATAGATACAACAAATCCAAAGGACATTACCAACACACACTGATATGGGATATAACTGATAGCTGAGTTAGAAAGCAGTGATAAGGTTCAAGTAGAAAGCAGTGGCGTACCCAGGATTTCGGCTCGGGGGGGGCGCGACAAAAATTTTTTTCTAAAGAAGGTGCGTGGCGTTAGCCACGCACTCCGAAAAAATTTTGGGGGTGCTTTCCAAAGTTTTTTCGGGTCCCCGACCCCTAAAATCTGGAAAAAGGAGGCGTGGCGTCAGCCACGCCCCCGAAAAAATTTTTTTACAAGGCTAATTTGAATTTTTAAAAATTTTTAAAAATTATTTTAATTATTTACAAAAATAAACAAGTCACTTACACATTTTTATAACCCATATAAGTAACTTTCAAAAATTTCGCGACCCATTCTCGGGGGGGGCGCGCGCCCCCCCCCCGCCCCCCCCCCTCGGTACGCCACTGGTAGAAAGTAGGACTAAAGTAACGAGTAGTCATGACTGATTTTGAAATAATATATCAACCTGCATGAGCTTAAAAATGAAGGGCAACAAGTTAATTTTGCAAGAGAATTACTTTACCCTGTCATCATCCTCGTCATCGAGTGGCTCTTCTACAGCTCGATTAGCTGCTTCTGGAACAGAGTTCACCTGCTGACCATTCTCATCGGCAACCACGTCTATGTCCATTTCCTCATCCATCCTTAAAACTCTAGAGATGAGAATTGTTGCGTGATTATTCACACATTTTCGTTACAGAAAGAAGAGTATTTTAAAGTGATCAATCTATCAATTCTAAATTTTCTGAACTTTCTTCAAAACGGATGTATGCCTATCGTCTATTCTGAGGGACCCGTCATACTTCACCGAAAAAGCTCAAAAGCGCCCAAAAAAGCCCTGAAGCGCCAGAAAGAGCCGGAACGCAGAAACAACCTTTTGGTAGAATTCTGACATTATTTTGATGTACAGAGGGCAGAAAATGAACCAAAAACACTCGGTTGCGAATTCCAGACGTGCCTTGGCGCCAAAACGTGCGCGACTCTGGCGCTTTTGAGCTTTTTTAGGCTGTTCTCGGTGAAGTATGATGGGTCCCTGAGATTCAAAGCTGCTTTGTACGAATTGTCTTAACATGCTCGATTGTGTTGTTCCCTGGTTCCGATTAGTTAATGATGCTAGATGGAGATAAAATACATGTATGAACTTGTTCATTGTTCAAGCTGCTAAGACTATGCGCAAAGCGGTTCGAGTCTCCGGTTTCAGAAAGGATCACAGTTAAGCCAGAATCAATTTGGCAAAATCGATCGATGTGAAAGAGCAATGCAAAAACATGATTTTGCTTCATATTTTGAATTTTCGGGGCTAACTCGAAACAATAACAAAGGCAATCAACGCGAAGAGAAAGAGGAAAGTGAGGAAATAACGAAATCGTGCAAAATCAAAATTGTGGAATAGCGCGATTCTATGCTCCATCGCCACATTTGTCTCTCACCACAGAGCACGTAATTTCTCACACACAAAAATTGATTGCGAAGATGTTGTTGTTCATGGGAAAGCGACGCGACACAAGCATTTTTCTCTGAGTCATGCAAAAAAAGAAACTTTCTCTGTTTTTCCAAATTGCTCATTTGCTTTTCGAATTCTTCGGCCTTTTGCATGGGCGCTTGAACGTCATCGAGGTTTTTTTGTGCCAGCCTTGGGTTCAACTACCCGACTGCTTGAAGACAGCTCATTTCAAAGTTGTACGTTTCGTTTGCGCAGCTTCGATGATGTTTGGCCAAAACACTTCTGGGAGGCGTTAGTGCTGAATTTCGTTAATGTCGATTAGTTTTTCCAATTCCTACTTGGTTTTTGCATCATTCAAACCGGCGGTCACCCATTTTTTCCGCATCTGCGTTTACTCACACGTGAAGCTATGACACAGGTTTTCTCACGTAAACACATTCTCAGTTTAGAAAGCTATAAAATCTGATGATCTTTGGCACATCCATAAATTTCTTTGTTATAATTGTGGCTCTGACGTGACTACACAAGCGGATTGCCACGCGTAAAAGTTGTCTGCGCACCCCTCATTCACCTATTATTTTCGCGACTCAAAAGCGCCGGAGAGAGCAGCGATGCAGCTCGTGCACTGTGTTTTCATTATGCAATTTCATTATTTTTTGTTACTGCATTTCACAAAGAAGTGACCGTAAACCTTGATGATGCATCCTGAATGTACAGCTTGCAAACATATACGTAACAATATCGTCTTTCTCACCGATCATCTCATAAAACTGCCTTTTTTAGCAAATGTTCGCATCTTTAATGTGTCAATGCGAAACCAGAAAGAATGTTGCAAGTTTACAAGGCAAGAAACGTCAAAAGCTATTGAGAAAGTTATTTAGTTATCAAGTATAGCAGTGTGCCCTGTTTCCTTTGTCGAAAATAGCGCAAAATGTATTTGATACGTTTCTCAAAAGATTTCATCCTCATAGAGGCCTACAAGAAAAGGTAACCGTTGTAATAGACAGAAAGTTCTGGGAAAACAGTTTGGCGTAGGAGAACTAGCGAAAGTAGAGATGGCAGTAAAGTGTATTATGATCATCTTGAAGCAGAGACATCGAAAAAAAAAATTTTTTTTGATAAAAGAGAATGCTTGATGAAAAGTAAACGCGGAATAGAAATCATCACTTTTTGTGATGATTTGTCAGGAATTAGACTGAAGCACATCGTTGTGTCGAAGAACCATGATATTATATTTTGGGCGTAAGTTCCTTTGATCGGAAACCTACTTTAAACATGAACATGAATTCGCTTTTTTTTCAAACTTTCAGCCTCTATACTTTAGATCCCTCATCAATTCCTTATTAGATTTCTTTAAGGGTAATCTTGTACTCATGCCTCAGTCAAGTCATTTGAAGTTGCGTTCTTCTTTACTCCCACTTTTTGGTAATTCAGCTTTTGCGAACAAGCTCAAATGGGTATCTGTGAAAAAAAAAACGCTCATTTCGTGTCATGAAAGTAATAAAAATCAATACGCTACCCACAAAACGTTGATATAGCTCGCAAACCGATCGAGATATAAAAATAGAGTTTTTGTTGTTAGATAACTGAACGAAGACTCTACTGCTGCTGAAATTTGTGACATTGTCGTATTATCTTCTCTCCCCCCCCCCCTTCAGCGCGTTTCGATTTTTCTCTTGATTGTAATGTGCAGGGTGGTAATCATCAGTGCAAATGAGTCATACTTTTTATCTCACGCGACAAAGATGGAAATGTAGACATTTTTTGAAGATTACGACTCTGTTTTGATAAGCACTCTGTTTCCAATAATAGTGATGAATCATTTTAAATTACGATAGCTCACTGCAATCTTTGTATATAAATGCAAGCAAGCCACGCCCCGAAATTTTTCTTTTTGGAACTCGATCATGGTTCAACACCCATTTGAAAAATTTTTAATCCAAGAGTTTGCGGGAATCTCCTTCCAACCATATTTACTCTTGGACTTGACGGAAAAATAAAGTAGATTTTTTCTACAAATTACTAGTATTTTTATGTGATGGCCCAGAGGTTGAACCTCGCGGATTTTATTTGTGAAAATTTTCCACAGCAAAAACCGAGGATTCATCTTTTAGTCTTAGTATGATGAGAATTTGTGTTAAGAGTTTGCCTTATTCTAACTGTTTTAACATGGATAATGAAACAATCTTGCATTTTTTGGCTTTTGTACTTTAGGGTAAATCTGTCCAAGAAAACGCTACAATCATTCTGCTGCAGTCATTTTGTTAGAACGGTTTTATAATGAGACAGAAAAAGGTGGAGAAGTTTGGGTAAATATTTTCAACGCGACAGTCTTTGATACAGAGATTTGAACAAAGTTTTAAGGAAGAGGGCATCTCAGGAAGGATTCTTAATCGAAGTGGCCTTTCCAAAAGAGAAGCATACCCTCTTGAAGAACATCGAACGCTGATTTCAAATTTGTCTCCCTTATCTGCTGAGCGCCTTTGAACAAAGAATCACTAGAGCTTTTCGATAATTTGAACGCGTAGTTGACAAAAATATTACTAAAGTCTTTTATCAGCTCAAATGGGACACTGGTGATTGTTAAACTCTCTATGAAGAGAAAATTTCCTGCTTGCTACCTCAGGGTTCGTCATTATTGAATATTTTGAATTTTGTAATTATGTGACAGGAAAGCAGTTGAGTTTTCTTCTGATTAGGCATTCAGTTCTTGAATCATAAAACTCCCATAACTCCTCATCCAAAGGGGGGGGGGCTGCAGATTAGAAGGACAGATTCAGGGTTGGCATGCAATGCACTTCGATTATATGCATCTCAACTGGAAAATTTTAGTTAAGAATTCTCCCCCTATCAGAATGTAAGAAATGCCGCTTCCATTTCATGTGAAAGGTTGTGAGACTAATTTTTGAACAAGACCTGCTAATAGTAGTTCTTATTGTTAGTAAAAGTTACCAAATAGTATTTTTATAGCTGTGTTTGAGTGACAGTATGAGTATTTTATGTTTTTCGAAATTTTTTTGTGCATCTCATAATAAAAAGAAATTGGGCCACTTCACTTCACTCGTCACATCATCTTTGGACATTTTCTCTGACTATATGAATTTGAATTTCCCGTTTTTTTTCTTGAGCATGCTACATCCATGGTCATGAACTTTACTTTTATTTATGATCTTCCAGAAACCCCCAAGCCAAATGCTGAAAAGCCTACGGGAGCTTGTGTCGAATCCCAGCCCTGAGGGAATCTTCTCAGCTGCCAGAAATGCCGTCGCAGAATTCACGCACAGGCAGGATAAAGCACAAGTACAGAAGGTTTGTCAGGACTGATATAGAGTTTTTTCTTGACGAAGCTAAAATTTCAGATTGTGAAGCTAACTCCAGCTCGTTTCGATAAAATGTTAAAACTCGATAATCTCAAAAACGTTTCATGTCATTCTGAAACTGTAGATGGAGCTGCTGTATTTCATTCTGTTTACATCGCCGGTCATTTGGTGAGGATACACATTCGATTTTCTTGAAGTTTTATATATAGATAGTTTCAGTCCTTGATTAGCAGCAAAGATGAAAAATTTATACGAATATTGAGCAGTAAACTGGATGCCTTGATCAATTCAACTGAAGGTTTGCCTATTTCATTTGCTAAACAATTAAGATATGAACAGGCTAAAAATTATAGCTCTGCACGTATTTTGGGGCTTCATGATTCATTGTCAAAATAGTTTTTCTTGCATTAAACGCAATTTCCTGAAATATTTTTAAAGTAGTAGCACTTGAATAGTCCCAGTGACCAGGGCTCGGCACAAGTAGCTTATAAGCAAGCTGGATATCGTTTTTGGGACAAAAAGCAAAAGGATTCCATTTTTGTGGCCTAAAAGACACAATATTTGCGACGTTTTCTATTTGTTCTTGGAGATATTTTAAGGTTTATGGTCTAGGGTCAAAGGGAACTTCGCTTTTTGCATTTTCAACTAGCCACCTCGTGTCGAGCCCTGCCAATGACTTTCACATTATCGACCCGTAACATCACCTACCAACCCACATCCGTACCCCGCCTACCCGCCTTGATAGGCGTAAAAAATCGATAATCGATCGGGTCATGGTTTTTCTTATGCCGTCATTTCCTAGTTGTTTTTTTTTCTGCTGCCTGTCCAATACCCAGCTTGTGCCACAAGTGTTGTTTTGTAATAACCCCATTAAACAATGCGGGAATGAAAGTGAATGTCAATTGTAGTTTTATTTTCTGTGGATTGGCGTATGTTGAAATCTGTCGAAACAGCTTTGAAAGCAATAAAGTCCATTTTTACATTTTCGATTATGGAGATAATAATTTATTCAAGGGCAAACAATGAGCGATAGCGGATTCGAAGAGATGATGAACATCGTATCCGCAGAACCAGACTGGGAAACGATACATTATGCAGCTGCATGCGGTGTGCTTGGTTTTCTCAAAATGGCTCTTGAGAAAGATCGTCAAGTGTAAGTATAGCTAGTGTCTCAAAGTATTCATACACTTTTTAAGCGTGGGTATACCTATACCTCGCGGTTCTTTTCAGAGCTTGAAAATTAGATTTAAACTGTAGAATAGTCATTAATCGCTCTTCTTCACGTAGGATTGCGATATGAGCTTTGGAGAGCATTCTCTGCCATTGTCAAATCGCGACATAAAAATTTGTTTCTTTTTGAAAAAAGTTATTGTAGGTATACTGTAATAGTATCTTCTAGGTAGCAACTGCAACTGCAACTTTCTCGATGCTCTTAAATCTTGATTACACCGTTCAAACAGTTTGGAAAAATGAGATTATCAGCATTGACTCGGCTTTTCATGATCCCATCACAAAAGTTTTCAAGGTTTAAAAAAATTGAAATTGTCTTCATTGTGGCAATTCCTATCGTAATCCAACAGTAACAAAAAAATGAACGAAATTACTGTAAGTCCTGTAAGTCTAAGTTGAAGGCAGCTTTACGAATTGATACTCAAAGATCTGCTAAATAGGGGGGGGGGGGGCGGGCGTTAGGTACCCAGCCGAGGTGTGGCGTTAGGTACCCTGTCGAGACGCAGAGTAATTAGATGGTCCGACAGTCTCCACGCCAACTGGGCGGTGCCCAGAATCTCCAGATGAGCTGGCACTCCCCGGGTGCTCGGTGGTCCCCTCCCCAATTATGTCCCCCATTTTTATATATATGCTATAATGATAAAATCATCTAGTCAAGAACTCTTCTGTTAAGATGCAATACAACAGGGTAGAGGGATCAAGTCCCGAGAGTAATTAACTCGTTAGACTTGACATGGAGGTCCCGGTTGTTTGAACTCATTCTAACACAATTTTTCTTGATGGGAAAAATCTTAAAAAGCTAGATTCTGCAGATCTTAGCTTAAATCCACCGCCGGCACCAGCCCTCATCTCCTACGTCTCTACGTAGCTATTTTTCTCCTATTTTTTTTCTCTTATCTCATTTTCTTATTTATCCCTCGTTTTTTTTTGAGTCAGGCGATGAGTCTGAGTTTTGTATACATACAATAATCCATCTACTGATATTTATCATTTTCTCTCTTGCTATTTCCGCGAGCCGTGATCCCCCGAGCCGTGAAAAAAGCGAACCGTGATTTTTTCCGACGCGATCTTTCTAGACGAGTTCAACTCTCTAGATTGAGAATCCGCGAGCCGTGAATTCCGCGAGCCGTGATTTCCTAGAGCCGTGATATCCCGGAGCCGTGAATCATTGATATTTTTCTTTATTATTCTCTTTTCTTCTCAACTGGGAAACCCTAGTTTTTTTTAACGCGCACTTACATAACTCAACGACTCTATCGCCACAGCCGGCATTGTAAATATGTAAATAAGGTCTCGCAAGTGGAAAATGCACTGTGAACCAAAATTTTTCAAAATAAGGTCTTGCAAGTGGAAAATGCACTGTGAACCAAATTTTTTTTTCCTGTTCAACTATCACTAGTGGAAAGACCACTGTGATAGCACTTTTTTGACTCTCGCAAGTGGAAAACGCACTGTGAACCTCACTAAACCAAGTTTTCACATGTAGAAAATGTACTGTGAATAACTTTTGCCTAAAAGGATTTTCACTGGCCGTTTTTATGATTGCCTGTGGAATACCCAACGGCTACCCAATCGCCCGCGGTCACTCTAAAGGCTACTCTCCCAGCGCTTATTTTCTTAATGGCTAATCACTCAACTAAGAGTGACATTTAGCCGCCAGGAGTAGGCACATGCTGCGGCAATGCCTTTGAGCCTTGTAGTCCATCGACGAACGTCTGGGCTACAGGTCAACTTCGCGTGATTGTGCATATATAAGCACATCACGGACCGCGGACGACATCCATTCGTCGACACGAGGAGTGGAGAAGGTATTCTGCTGACCTGAGGATTTGCCAACGAGCAACCAAGGACACGGAGCCAACTATCAACCACTACTATCGACCACTACAAGCTAGAAAGAAGAAAGAAAGTATTTTGCTGACCTGAGGACTATCAACTTCAAGTTAGAGGTACTCTCTTAGCTTGATTTTCTTTTTCTTGTTTCATTTGGTCACTTTTCTTAGTATTTTCCTTTGTATTTCTCATACTCTTGTATCTCATCCTCATTTCTTAAAAAAAAAACCAAACAAAAAAAATGCATTCGGTGAATTCTCTGTTTCTTGTCGCGATAATTGCGCTAATTTTACCTACTTCCTCCGCATTCTCAATGGACTATCAATTATGTTCATCTGGTAAATCAGGATGGCCTGTAGCCTTTCCTGAAACTATTTCTTGCGCGCAACCAACCAATTTAACTAATGTATTATTAACAATGGCTTCTGTTTTTGTAGAAAAAACAGAACCAACTACTCTAAGTGCATTTCATTGTTTCAATAAGACTAGGAAAGTTTGCGCGTCATCTTATCTACACATTTCTTTCTTGCTAAACAGCGATGAGGAGTTTATGTCTCCCATCGACCCAATTCTCTGCCATAATATTGCAAAGTCTAAAAAGTACCTTGGTGAACCGTTACACATATTTTCGCCTAAAGTATTCGGTTCGCAGCGTCTCATTCATTATTCTTATCCCTGGTTCTTTGGTCAAAAGTGCACAATCACCACAAATATTTATGTAGAAGAAGGCGAAATTGCCACTTTTGATGGTGACCAATTGCTAGGACAGTTTGGCGACATGGCAAATTGCACTCTCGGCCATGATTACTGTCAACTGTCGCATGGTACCGTAGTTTGGAAGTCAAAAGATGCTCAAATTGCTTGTAAATTTGTAAAAGCTATTGACAGTATTGCCTATGTCACACCAAATCACATTCTTCTTGAAGCAATACAATCCGCATTCACATACAAGAGCGCTTTCATTCAAAAATCACAACTTACAAAGTGGTGTTTGTCTGAAAACGCTATTCCAATGGACAATGGCGTATTCATATTGCTTCCAGAACTTTTGGGAGAAGATCCTCGCACAATTTTTGATAGTGACATAACTCTAGTGCGAGAAATCAATGAAAAACACTTCAACTTCTCCAAAAGCTTTCCAATTTACGATGTAGACACTACCTACACTCATAAAATTCGCAGTCCTTATGCATCACATGGCAATACTTTTCCAACTTCTAGCAATGCCACTATTCTTTCATCAATACTTTTGAAATCAAAACCGCTTCAAATCAACCAAGTGAAACCGCTGATCAGAGGAAAACGATCTAGCGATAACTCAAAACCCGCGCACAGGACAATTAACATTTCTGCTATAGTCGCAGAGCATATTGCATTGAATTCACCTCCAGTATTCTCAGCGCAGCCGTCTGAATTAAATACCAAGTTGCAGTACCTTAAATTCAAGCTTGACGAGGTGATTCAGCGCGATTTTTCAATCATGTTTGAGCGAATTTGCGTCTTGAATAATTTCAAGATTTTGACTATCAAAAGTATTGCTAAAAGCGATCCTACAAGTGCTGCTAGGATGTTACTCAGCAGAGACGATATTTTCGCTATTTCTGCTGGGGATATTTTGATGATTTCTAAGTGTAAAACTATCCAAATTGATGAGATCTATCCGGACCATAAAGTGAATAGCAATTGCTATGTAGATACTCCGGTACGTGTCGGGAAAATTTTATTTTTCGTCCAGCCTGCCACACATGATCTCAAAACCACATCTTCTTTTGCTGACTGTGGTCATTTACCATTAGGGGTTTACAATGATGGCACAAATCATTTTAAGTCACCTAATGGTTATGTCCACGTTTCTCACGTAAATTTAAATTTACCACAAAACTTGGCAAATCAAAACATAGTTTTCAATTCTCCGCCTATTTTCCACTCGGACCTAGCCAAAATAAACACGGAGATAAAGTACATCAAAAATCGCATTAATACAGCAACCATAAAGTCAAACTTAGATGCTTCGCAAGTTCACGATCCTTATCTGAACACATTTCCTGAGCAACTACAGGATGAAGTTATGGAAACTGCTGATTTTCTTGAGACCAATGCTTTACAAATTCTACAATCGCAAAAATCAATAATTTTACGGTCTATAGAAAAACATACTGTGGTAATTTATGCTGTTAGAGCAATTATCATTGCATTAGTTCTATTTCTGATAGCTCTTATCTTTTATCACGTCAAATTAGCGCGTACTTTCTTGAAAGTTCTCTTCAAAATGTTTCAAGTTCTATTTCCGTCGTTTCACAAGAAAACTGCGAAAATAGGGCATAATGTTGAGGCATCTGCTCCGCATTTTCAAGAAAGTCATAGCTTTGTTACAATTCAAGACAATCAGTCTCAAACGCGCGATCTAGTCTATCCAAATTTGCAGGACGAAAAACAAGTTGAGACATCGTTTAGCACAAAAGCCGATCTCAATATGCCTATTACCAATTTTCACGATTTCAATCCTATCGTAATGTCTATCCAGCAACTCGGTCAAAGCAACACCATATTCATTCCGCTAAAAATCAATAACTTCAGTACAACTGCCCTTTTTGACACTGGTTCAGCTATTAGTCTGATCTCAGATAGGTTTGTTCAAAAACTTAACATTCCTTTCACTAAATCCTCTTTGAAAGAAGCTGTAGCAGCAAATGGTACTCCTATTCAGCTACTAGGCCAAATCACAGCCACTCTTTCTGTAGATAACATTGTCATTACAGTCACACCATTTGTAGTCAGTAATGCACATTGCTCAACTGATTTACTTTTGGGTAATGACTCGATAACAAAGTTATCTACAAGCGTAACAATAAACTATAAGGAAAAACAGGTTGTTTTTGAAAAATGTGCAGTACCAATGGTTGATCCTAGCAGTGATCTCGTGCTCACCGAACCTGTTTACTTATCTTGTAGAACAATTCTCAAACCGCTTTCTGATACTGTTGTACAAGGCACTATAAGATCTTCTTATCCTCCCGACTGGGAATTTATGACATGTGACGACTCTACAGTCACTTTACCATCAGGTGTCGTTATAGGCAAAACACTATC